CTAAATTTCCTCACTCGCATGCCGGTCATTGTGTGCAGAAATTGCTGATTCCACCCACCGCATTCGCCCAATGGCTCAGCACAGTGTGAGGCAGCCATAATTCTGCCACAAGAGGAGAGCCATAAAAGGTATTTTGTTGTCAATAAATAATTGAATGTGCCAAAGGAGTATCGATAAAAGAATCTAGCTGACCACTTAGGGTAGAGCGCCGATAGGAGCACGAATTTTGTGCTAAAAGCACAGCTATTAGTTGGAGTTTGAGCGATGGGAAGGCGTGTTCCACCGGCTAGAACATCTCACAAGATCCAGGCATGACTTAGGGAAAAACTGCGTGTGGAATTCCAAATCACTCCGCCAACAACTCACGTCGCCTTCACTCCCCAAAAACGCCTCAAGTGTGATTCCATGGCGACTTTTTCGAATTTTATTGCTCCGCCAGAAAATCAAATGCCCCAAACGCGCCACGTTGAAATTAGCATAATACGGATTTCGGTGTTATTCTGCAGAATATTGATAACAGAATCACTTGACGATAAATTCGATTTGGCATTGGTAATTAATAGCCTCGCGTTTCACGATGAATGAATACAATGAACTCCGTCTTGAGTACACTTTTCTATGTAGTTCCGAGTGATAAAAGTCAGTTGGGAGTAAATTTATACAGCACAAAAGAAAGCGAAGCGAGGGTGTTGAAGGCTCTGCAGATTTATGAGTACCTGAAGTGAGTCCCCGAGCTACTGTTTGACGACAACTAATCTTCTTGTGTTAGCCCAAAAAATGCCTCCAACCCATAGAAATGCCATTGTAGCCGTTTTTCCCACTCCTCGCATCTACAAACAACCATCCTCGATGGCATGCCTTTCGTCTGCCGCCCAAGACTGAGATTGTGACATTTTGTGATACTCGGATTATCAAAGAAATGAAAAACAATTTGACTCGGAGTGTGGAGGAGGACAGCATGATAAATCACCGGGAAAGGCGCACAGCGTCGTTCAACCGTTAACACTGGTAGGTGAAATTAATTATTAAACATTGGGACGCAATGCATGAAACTGTGCCGCTTGTTTATCAAATCACGTGGAGTCAATGGACAAAGAATAACAGTCAATCAGCATAAATATCTAAGGCAAATCTTCGAAGAGTTGCTTCTTTTCTCTCCGAATCATTAATTCACTTAATTATATTCCACCAAGATACGCTTGGAATTCATATGAAAATCACCTACGAGATTTGACGATAGACAAACTTGTGTTTCCCAGACGATTCTCTTTGTCTCTCTCTTGAGACAAATGATGCTGCAAGAGACGCATGAATCTCCCCCCAAATGGGGATTGTGTAACTTGGCAATTGAGCCACTTGACGTGAGTCTCGATGCTTGGAAAATTCCCCAATTGGAATATTCCAAATGTGCGATGTGAAAAGTTTCCCAAATAACTGACGGAAATTGCAGAAAATTAGGAAGTTGGAGGCGGAAACCTTCCAGAAGTCTCACAAACAATCTCATTCAGGCGCTCTTATGCAAGCAAATCGCACGGACAGCGTGAAACTTTTCATAACTTTCCACCAATATTTCACCATCATTGCGCGTCTCTCGATGTGTCGCCCCACAAGAGACTTGTGCATTAGACAACGCGACTTGCTCGAGAAGATTAAATCACACACTTCTTGTTTTAATACCCATTCAGATAGACATGGCTCAGTGTCTCTCTCTCTCTCTCTTTCTCACTTAAAACCCGCAAAGTCTTGAATTGTAGCCAGAAAAGATCCACGAAAATTCCTTCAAGGTGTTGTCACTTTGATTTATTGCCTCCATTCTGGGCAGAGATTTAACATTCTTCAAGACGCTTCATGAGGCGTTACTGCGAGTGTCGGAAAAAAAATCACTTCGCCGCTTAGAAAAGGTTCACCTCAAATTAAACAATGCCACGTTATAATTAGTTCTTATTGCGGTAATTGTAAATGCTATCTCGGATTGTTGTGAGCACGCAAAAAGCGATAAAGAAGGTTTCTATACCATCGCCGTACAATCAAATCTCTCAATCTTCCTGCCTTCTTTTTTTTCTTTTTTCCAGAACGCGCAGACACACTCAACCATTTTTCTCCACCATTGCGCGAAAGTCAATGTTGTGACTTTTATTGAGAGACAAATTCACATTATTATGTGATTATATTTCAAGCTATTATTTACCTCCCTTCCCTCGCCTTTCTCATCTTTTATCTCCCATTCTATGCAGTATAAATTTTATTTAAAAGAAAAAACAGCAATATAGGAATGTGTGTCACACTTTGAAGACAATCTCACAGCCGTTGGCGAGAGAGACCTTCGATAAATTTGCATAAACTTATTGAAGCGGAGAGAAAGGATGAAAAAAGCCCATATTCAAATATTGGCAGAAGAGAAGATTGCATACAATTCGTTAAGAGACGCGCGCTTACAGCAAAATTGTCAGTTGAAAGAGAGAATTTTGTGTGTGTTTTTAGTGATGAAACTATTCGAAGAAGAGTAATAACTCTATGGCAAAAATTCCCAGCATTCGCGGGGCAATACAGATTGAAATGTCTCCTCAAATGCTTTTTGCCATTCTCGCGCATTCACTTTTTCGTGTATATATAAACTGTCTCAAGCAGAGCCGGTTTATCATTCTTCTTTATATAATATTGCAGAGCAGAAAATTGTCTATGATTAAATATTAATATTTTTCAACTTCTTTCACTCCCCACTCAATGCATCGCCGATATTGGCTTTATTTACATAATTGACTTTCAACTCCAATGAATTGCGCCATTATTGAGACACCTCCAGAGAGACACTTTACTCGAAAAAGCACTCGAAAGTGTTTAATATCATTTTTCGAGTAACAACCAATAATCTCATAACCCTTGGCGGATAGTTATCAAGTTGAAATTGAGAAATAATGCAATTTGTGAATATTTCAGTATGTGAAATGAGGAGAAAATGAATCATTTTCATCGCAAATTGATTTCCCTAGAAATCTCAGAACAACATAAGTTAATTAGAACGCTTCTTATCAACATTTCAACCATACATTCGCTGTAGAAATGGACTGGAATTGGAAGTGCGGGGAGAAATCTCATTGGGACAAGAGTGCAGCAAATTGAATCTGCATGCAAGTGCTTCTTGAATTAATCTCTCCACGCAGAATGTTCTCGCCTTAATTGTCCAATTTCTATGTTAACGAGCAAATGGGTAGATTAAGTGAATTTACTGGCCAAGGCGACAAGTGTGTGTGAAATATATTGCGAAGATTGAATTGCATGACGAATTATTTTGCCATTACTCAAGTTTCTTCCAACGGAGTTCACCCAATGATTCATCGATATTCAATTTAAACCCATCCACAAATCGAATTAACTTTTGCCCACAATCAATTACTCTCTCTCTCTCTCTTTCTTGTACACACACATTCAGAGTCACTCTTGGCGTTTTGCTGGCGGTTTGGTGAGTTTTGTGGAAAAACACGAATTGTCAATTGGAGGAATTGTAATTAATGTTGCTGTGATTTCTATCTCTGCATTACCAAAGACGCGTCTTTTTCCTTATCTCAACTCTTAGCTGCAAATATATCTCAGCAAAACCGGGGACTTTGTCACACCAAATTGAATATTTATTGCCTACACGGTGAGACATACAACTGAGCAATGGGAGGAAATCCACATAAAAGATTCACACACAACGCGAGGAGAAATGCAATTCGGCGACACATTCTTCGACCATTCACCCGTCAATTGACTCTACAGTCATTCATTAATAATCCCAGAATCACTCTTTAACAGCCCCCAAAGAGTGGGTGGGAATTGTTGAAATCGAAATAAATCCTCAACGGTGACAACGAATGAGCAAAATTTATGGGATTTCGGTGTTACTTTATGGGTTATAGAGGGAAAATATGAAAAAAAAGTAAAGACAACTTCGCCAACGTCAATCCCACATTCTCTTCTCTTTTTCTCTCTCTCTCTCTCTGGCGCGCAAGTTTAGTCGTGAAAAATTCATAAAATTATATTCACACCCAACCAGCATTATTTTATTGCTGATCCAAGCGAAAAGAAGACGTTATTTTTCATATAAAAATCTCCATTTCTTCTGACCTCGCGCGCGCGTCTTTTGGAATAAATCACAATATTTTGACTGGATTTTTCCCCACTTCTCCTCAAATAGTCATTTGTTAATATGTCTCTTCCCCCGGTGTGTCTCTAATTAGAATAGTGTGAAATTTATTGGGGACTTTGCGTGTATCGCCAGCCCACATATGGAATTCTGGACAGGGAAAAAATCACCTAACGGATCATGATAGGAGGAAGAAAATGACTGCGCCGCAGCTTTAAGAGGTCAGCGGCTGTGGAATGTCTCAGAATCTCACCTATAAAATCCTTCCCAAATTCGAAAGATAAAGACTCCAACGGTAAAACTGACAAGATATTCCTCCTTGTCAAAACTTCACAGTCAAATCTCGGGAAATTACCCGCGTTGTCTCAATCATAATTAAGTATGAGGAATGCTTAGCTTCTTAGGGCCCAATGTAAATCCAATTTACACACCCAGTCAGCCGTCCACCGAGCGAAGTCTCTCAATCTTCGGGGCAAATTGAACGCGTGTGTGTGGGGGGAAACTTGACACCCGCCGAGGGAAAACAAACGGACTTTCCTCCGTGACAGTGAAAAACGGTGACAATTAAATTGACGGAGATTCCACTTTGATTGCTGAAATGAGCTGCTGAGGCTATAAATTGTCAACTGTGACGCCCTGCAACACTTTGTTTATCCAACAAGACGAAATGGCTATAAATGCAACCCAAAAGAATTCCTCCTTTGATGCTTCCACGCTCTCTCCTCGCATTGGCGAGAAAACCGTCTAATTATAGCGACTCCTCTCAAAAACCAACTCATCACTCAGTGCTTTTGGTGTTTGTCAATCACCACAGAGAGTCGGCTGCAAGATCCCAACTCATCGTGAGCCCCAAAGTGCATTAAAAGACACGTACCTTCGACTTTTCCCAGTGCCAGCACGCTCACAGTCTGGATGAAGGGAATCGCCCAGGAGACGGCGTGGAAGAGATGAGCGCGACTCTCGATGGCCTCGTGGCCCCACTTCAGGCCGGCGGCGAGGAACCAGGCGAGCGCCAGACAGGCCCACCAAGCAAAGGCCGCCATGCTGCAGAAGTAGAGCGCCATGAACAGGACGATGCAGGCATTGGACTGCTGATGACCCTGCAAAACACGAATTTCCATCACTCACACTGAACTCTGTTCTGCCTCATGAAAAATCCAAAATCTGCTGACCCAGAAAGACAAGCATGGCCAGAGAGATTGGTGAGGGAGTGGCGTGACATGATATAAGCAATTTCAAATTCACCATGAATAATAAAATATTTCATGTGATTTATTGGCAGGCGCTTAGCGACAATTTGTCCAACTGAAACAGAGTCACTTTCTACCAGATCATGGATTGGGGCTATTTCTGCATAAAACTGATAAGCTATCTCAAATAAAATGTCTGGCAAATTGCATACAAGTCAACATGACGACAACTTCCATATTAATATCAAATCAACTCAGTGGCGTAGTAAACATGGTGAGAATTCTCAGCAAGTCTTCAGAGTTTTCTCCAAGATATACGCATTATGTTATCCAAAAAGAACGTGTTTCTTTCCTGCTTCTCAGACAGGATTGCATTTAAGAGGATCTGATTTCTTTCACATAAACTTCACGCCACTGTTTCAGGTCTCTCCATATTAGAGGCAAAATGAATTAATTAAATTTCTCGATTAAGCATCAATTTTCTCCACTCGTTCCCAATCTCGTGACCCACAGTCGAGCATCATCTTCCGCTCGGGTGGTGACATTAGTGTGCCGCCGCGGAGATGCTGAAATGGAAAGTCACTCTTACCTGCGTAATGGTCGAGAGCATCTGGAGGCGTCCGATCTTGACGGGTGGAGGAAATGGTTCGCGACACGCGACAGAGTCGCCAGCACCCAGTCCCGCCACGTAGGCGCAGCCCACGATCAGGTAGCACACGGCCAGGAAGACGATGGGACGCTCAGGGTAGCGGAAGCGCGACGGGTCAATGAGGAAGGTGAGCACGGTGAAGAGGCAGCTGGCGCAGCACACGGCCGCCCAGGATGCCACCCAGTATCGCAGCACTGTTCTCTCGCTCTCGGCGAAGAACATCAAGTGGCAGGGCGCCCCGCAGTCCTTGGTCACCTGCAATAAAACCATCCGAATTACACACTTGACGCAAACATTTCTGTGCACAGCGCGAAAGAAAGAAGGACACAAAAGCAGTCCACAATCTAATAACGCCTCTTTTGCCCTGTCTTCACTTTTATCCATACGAAAAAGTATTAGTTTCCATATCACTTTCAGCAGAGTTTTTCTCACTCTGTTTTCCCTCTCACGTTTTCCCCACAACTCTTTGCCATGCTCTGCTCTACATTGGAAAAGTTGTTTTCACTCCAAACTCACTCTCGCGTGTTTTTGAATCCCAACAACTTTCCTTTCACAAGCATACTTCATCTTCTGGGAAATCCTCTTTGATCCTTCAAATGTAACAAATATCCGACAGTGAAACTCTGCCCAAAATTAAATCTCACACTGAATTTCTCATCTCAACTTTAAAGCAGGCGAAAATTATATTATGAGATTTATGAGATAATTGAAAATTATCTTGATATGCCCTTTATTTTTGCTTCAACATAAAGTGCGAGAGAGAAGAAGAAAAAAAACACAGTCCATTAAAGTATCAGTGAGTTTTAATCTGCCACAATTCTTCTAACGTAGTCAAGTTCAGTTATACTGTTCTTTCTGGTGAGTTGGCGAAGTGATAAATTCTCGAGAGTGTTTCTCAGTGGGAAGAAAGAAAAAAAAATTGAGAAATGGTTGGGAAATTGTATATGCAGAAAAAGCAAGAGTGTATTTTCCAGCGGACAGAAAGAGAAAGGGTGAAATTGAATCCATCTCTTTGATTGTTAATTTGCTCATTACCATTAAATCGAGCAATTTTTCTCTCACACTCCACGATAGAGTCTGTTGGACCGTGAAATGACAGTGAATGCGCCGCCCGAGTAGGGAAGATGAGAAACTGAAGAAGATACACCTTTGTCTCTTGTTGTATGATTAGAAATCCGATCTGTTGTTTTCAACCTCCACTACTCAATGGCTAATTGATTTTCTCGCTAACTGGTCAGATCGCGACGCTTTCATGTGAGCCTCTCGGCCGCACTTTTTTCACACACCATCTGCATCGAAATCACCTGAGAAACGTGTTTCTCCCAGACGATCATCGATCAAATCGATGCTGTTTCCTCAACACTAATAATACAGAAATATTCCGCCGTTTTTTCTCCATCTTCTTCCCTCTCCCCTTCCCATCAGCGCTCGTCTCAACATTGCAAAAAGTTGCAACATGAAATAGCATAAGAATGCGTGTCGCCCGGCAGAAAATCAATAATTGACGGTGTGGCCTTTCACTTAAGTCCAATATTTCCCGTTGATCTGCTATACGAATTTCTGACCCATGGCAATTAATTGCTCAAGAGACAGCAGCCCGTTATCAATTTGCTCCATCGCACGCCAAGCTACTCGTCTTTCAGAACTAATTCGCCCATAGGAGCTGCTATTATGCCAAAATTGGTCACTGCACGTCTCACTGTATCAATTTGCACCATCTCGGGCGGTCTCGCTAGCGGCGCATTGGGAAAAGTTCAGGTGAGATTCCCCAGCGATACTGAGTATAGATTCCTGTGGGTAATCGCATAAGGGAAAAAACTAGAGGTTCTTTTACCGATACAAAACCCCAGATAGACTTGTGCACCGATTTGTGTGTTTAACGACGGCTATAATATACCGAAAAAGACAGTGGGAAAACAACTAATGTGTAACGTAAACCCCAGAAAGTACTGAAAAACATAACCATTCTTGCATTCAATGATCAGAGTGTCTGTCCACACATTTTCCGACTTTTCTGGTGTGCAAAAATTAAATTAAATGCTGTGAATTTGTTGAATTTACTGAAGAAATAACACTCAGTCGTTGAAACTCTGCTGTCTCGATTGTAGTTAGTTGTTTTCCCTTTGGGAAAATTGCAGTTTCTGCCACTCTGTTTGGGCCTGCAAAAGCCTCCAGTCTCATGGGAGATAAGAGACGGCAACTGTGCACTCCTACCGGGCGTCTGACCTCCTTCGGAAGGCGCACAGATGCAGAAGTGCAGCTCGTGCAAAAGTGAAACTATTGAAGGAACACACCCACATTAAATGTGACCCTTTTTCGCGTGAATGCAACTCAATTTCCACACCGTGATGGCTCGCTTGGGTGCCTTCTAATTGAAAGGCCGAACTCACAAAACATCACCGCCGTTCACCCGGCCAAGAGAGTGAGAGTTCAGCGGGTCAAAGAACGCTAAATGGCAGAGGTGGTCAAAAGTGATCCACTTCCAGGGCGTCGATCTCCCAGGGGAGGGAATGGGCGATAGAGATTCACCCAGCATTTCACCGTTGTGACTTTTGCCTTCTCATCTCTCGCATCGCGCATTTTTTCTCTCTCTCCTCCTCAAATATGTAACCAAAGAGTGAAATACATGATCAAATATTCCCGCTACATTGATGATTCCGCGAGCCTCACCCATGAGAGATGATCGAGGAGGCCAGAGTTTCTCTCCGAAGGCATTTCATTCTCAGGTGTTTGTGCGCTCGAGGCACTTCAGCCTCAATTGGGCCATCAATGTTGACCAAGTCGCCGCATTAAGTCAACCTTGTGGTGCATTTATAATCAATTTCCCTCACATTTCTTTCTTTTTCTTCCATCACAAAACCACCGCACGGAAAAATCGGACGGGAAGTCATTCTGAAGAGAGAAATTTAGCAGTTCACCAACAGAGACTTTGGCTTTTGACGAATCACAATTTGAAAAATGCACAGACATTTGTTCAAATGCCTTTCACAAAAGACCCTCAAACGTGCGTTTTTCTCTCTCCGCACCTTGAACTTCTCTCTGTATTCCAACAATAAACTCACAAATTGTGATCATGCTGAAGACTCTTTTCTTTTGTTCTAAAATGCAAGTGATGTGCAAAGTCATTGAGCCACATTTGCTCACAAAAGAAACATAAAATATATATAAAATGATATTTCTGTGAAATATTGCGTCCTCAATTTGAACAACGCACATCATAGAGAAAATGTCACGTCAACATTTCCAAAAAAAACAAAGCATCAGTCATGATTTAAGAAATTGATAAAAGGGAGAAATAATTTGAAAAATGCCAAAGAGACAAAGATTTGCTAAAAAGTTGTCAAGAGATTCTTTAGACATCGCATTAAATTCTAACATCAGAAGCAATTTGCACGCGCAAAACATGAATATTCAATCCCTTCCAAGCACTCTGTGAAATTGAGTGAAATTTCCGTTGAATTGCAAAGTTTGCTCACGCAACACATCCATCAGATGTGTGTTTATGTCATATCCATTTCCCACCATCGGATATTGCGGCTTCAGCCGTCACCGGAATTTAATTCGCCACAATTCCACCTTCGTGGATTTACGTGTCATCAGCTGATATTTGGCTATGCTGCAGCAATATTTGGGCAGCGCCGAGGAAACTGTCTTGAAGTTGTAAAACAACGGGGGTCAAATGAATCTCCTCAGCGCGCCTAACTGTTTCTCATCTCAATAGGTTTATTCATATACAAGAAGAAGGAAAAAAAGAGAGCCAAATGTCTCTTTTTTCATATAATCATCTTCGGCGAGATGAACTTTCGCGACAGAAGAGGAAAAAATGATGAAATCACTTGATTTGTCAATTTTGGCGGAATAAAGGCAACACTATAATCACACATTATAATCGCATTGCCAATAAATTCATGGCATTTTACGAGCCATCCAAGCGCCGCATAATTAAGGAGAATTCTAAGAATTTCCAGCAGTTTTCGCTGAACATTTCCAACTAGGACTTCTCTGTGTCAAAATAAACACTCAATTTTCTGAACTCATTTCCCAGATAAAAACAGTCAAAAGTTGTAAATTTGTCGATTCTTTGCCATGTATGAATTTATAAATTCACATGACGTCCGCTTAATAGGCAAAAAAGCGACGATTGAGAGACAATTTCGATCAGAATCTCACGATATGGCGATGAAATTTGCATACAAAATCCCACGAATTGCTATCAAACTCAATTTTGGCATTTCAATCATAAATTCAACAAAGACGATGGACCAAATCGAGTTTCTTTTTTTCTTTCTCTCTCGCCTAAGACAATCCCTGGCAGCTTTTCGTCTATATGCAAATGCGATTCACTCCTTAGGAGAGTCACCTTGTGAATTTTTAACACCACACACAGATTCACCATCCCCCAAAAGTGGGACTAAATAATGTAGTGAATTAAACACTCTTGACTGAAATTCTGTTTCTGACATCTTTTCATACCATTCTGGCACATTAATTTTGCTCCTGCATGAATGGAAAATGCAGAGAGTGAGATAATTTGGCTCAAAGCCTGCCTCATCCTGCACACAACTGGGTATTCCGGAGAGAGTCAACACATTTTCGTCAGCTTCATCACAAGTTTTCGTATCTCAAGTCCCCTGATTTTGGACTTGAAGAACCATAAAATTTAGCTGTTATTGAAATAGTCTCTAGAAATACCACAGAATTCATATAATTATTCTGTGTTACCAAAAGCAAGATTCTAATGTATTAAGGAAATTCTAGCCACTGATTTCAAAAGCTAATTTTGTACTCAATTAATATTCCTAAAAATCTAAGGCATCAAAATGAAATATTTCAGACAAACTTTGGATATTTATACAATCATAAATCCTTTCTGTGTTGCAGATTATCCCAAAAGCCGCCAAATTCCGAGATACAATAGCCGGCGATGGAACCAACGAAATTTAGATTGCAAAGAGGAAACACTGAATAACACTCTCTTATCAGGCTGTTTATGAATGGAAACCGTTGTGCTAGAATTTTGGCACAAAGAACATTAAATTAATATGCATGAGGGAGTGATAAAGATATTATAAAGTCCGCTAAATGCTGCAGATTCCACAGAAAGTGTTCATTAGAACTTTGTATCGGAATGTTTGTTCTCAGTTTTGCTTCACTTCTTCTGGCTCAAAGTGCGTCTCTATTGTTGTCTCGCTGGGCATTTTCTCATGCGATTTAAGCGACAAACACTCACCTTTCCGCCCACATTGAGCTCATAGCCGAGCCCCGGAGGCGTCTTCAGCTGCACTGGACAGACGAATCCTATGTTCCTGTACGAACCGACGCCAGTGTGCTCATTGGCGCCCTTGTGCACATTTATGCGGCGCGACTTGCCGCCGGTTGGCGGTGGGCCGGCGGTCGGCGTGGCCGCCGTGGCCGTTGTGTTCTCCGCCACGCAAATCTCCTCGCCGCCCGCCTCGGGGAACTTCGAGCACTCCAGGTTCTCGGGCCAGTGGAAGTTGAAGCGCTGCATGATCTCCTCGCAGAGGCGCGCGCTCTCGCACAGATTGCGGCACGGCGGGATGGGTCTGTCCAGGACTGTGCAGATGGGCACGTAGAGGGTGCAGAGGAAGAAGTGGATGTCCGGGCTGCAGTTGACCTTGATCAGGGGCATGAACTGCACCAGCTCCATGCCCGCCTCCTCCTGCTTCGTGTGCCCGATGAGATTGGGCATGATGGTGGTGTTGTACTGCATGTCTGTGCACATGGACACCGTGATGGGCTCGCAGCGGTTGTGATGGGGGATCGACAGGTCGTCCAGGAGCTCCGTGGACTCGTGGCGGTGCAGGGAGTCACACAGGCGGCCCGTGAGGAGACTCCACCACACCACCAAGCACATCACCAGCAACTTCTTCATCTTATCCATCACGCACACACAACCACAAGCACCCACACTCAAGCACTGGCGTGGAATCAACAAAGGGACTCCACAGGCACGCTCTCGGGTTCAGGACTCGCACTGTATCCACTCGGGTCACTACACAGTCATTATGGGCCCGCGCACAGATCACGGAAGTGGCGAAAACGGGAATGAAACACTCAAGAGACACAATATATTCTCGGGGGCGCGATGTGAACTCACACTCGCCGATGTTCACCGGTTGGATGCGTGCTTTCGACTGACGATGGCTGACGCGAGTTTAGAGGAAGCCACCGCCAGAGTGGCAAAGACATGCCAGCACAACTGGCATGGCGCTACCGCGCTTTTCAGCGACTTTGTGTCTCCGATAAATCGCTGAGATCAGAGTTAAACAACTCGTAGAGAAGATTACTTATTTCGCGATAAACCAAGCACGTCGAAGCACTTTTCAAATGAACGCAAGAAGACACAGAGTGGCCTAAGAATATCATATATCCAATGCAATGCAAAAAAATGTAATTTGAGGGGGAAAATGGAATATATGAGCGTGGAAAAGATGCCAATGATGATTGGCTATCAAATGCGCGAATAAAAATTAAATTTACACTAGAGTAAAATTTATTTGAGCATATAACTCAAAGCACAGTCTTAAGAACTCTTTAAACTGTGCTTAAAGTGAGATAAAAGGACCAACATTCATATTCATTTGAAGAAAAGCGATTGAATAAAAAGTCAAACGTAGAAGAAAAATGTAAATTCTGTGTTAGCTAAACGTTTATTTACAATTTTTACAAACACTTATAAGTACAAAAAAAACTTATCCTTTGTTCATAAGATTAGAAATATATTTTTTTTAACTGACAATTTCATATAACCAATTAATATTTAAAGAAAAAAAAACTTACTACAAAGAAAGTTATCAATGTATAACACTTACACAACAACAATACTAATATGATTGCATATAATTGATTTAATATTAGAAAATTGTGTGTATTCAAGATAAAATATCCCAAAACCAATATATAATATTTTATTCTTTTATGAAGAATATTTTCAAGGTTAGTAAACTTATATCTAAACAGGGAAGAGATTTATTGAAGGAAGAGCTCATTTTCTTCAATAAAACTCTTCCGGTCTTAAAATAAGGCGCCTTATAATTAACAAATAATGAATCTCTTAACTTTAACACTAATATTTTATCAAGAACTTAATCAATTCTACTTAAACTTAAATTAAATTTTATCTGGAAATACTCGAGTTTATTTGATGTCCTTCCAATAACACTAAAATACATGTATTTTCTACCATTATTCACCTCCACTTCGCAATTTGTTCATAGAACTTACTAGTATGAATATATCATAGATATATGGGACCAAAATTACCGACATTTCATTCAGGAAATTTCATTTCACCGCCAAAATCGCGTGAACGAGATGAAAATCATCTCTCGCGTGGCTGGAAAATGAATCTCAACCGAATGTGAAATTGTCGGTAAACCAATAGACAAATGGAAGTTAATAGCTAAACATTAACACTTATTGCAATGAATTATGATGTAATTATAAATTCACAATGCATTGCAAGTACCTCAAGAGGGGGAAATTACCTTCCCACGCATCTTTGAGACTTCAATCCATTCGAATACGATACTTTTGTACACTTAAAATGAGTGCTTACAGGTCGACCTTAGGATATTTTTTAAAAATAATCTCGACAAATGAGAGGAAGAAGTAGATTTGCAAAATTGATCTTCTGTGGATTTTTCTTGCTGGCTGATTAGCGGAGAAAAAAAGCCCAAGAAGATTTATGGCTTTAGGAATGGCGGCATCTCATCATGTTGGCAAAACCAAGCCGAAGAGAGCGTCTCTCAGAAGTTATAAATTCTTCCAAGCTCACATTGCAAACACATATTTGCATTGTGAAAGTAGAAAATCACGCGGAATTTCTCTTCTACTCCATCCTCTGCACTGTACCATCTTAATTGCCTATTTGTAATGCTAAGACATCCTCGCATTCATTCGCACATTCACCCAGCAGATAAATATGTTGCAACAAATAATTTAGGAGAATAAATAAGCCTAGGTGTAGTGAGAGTATTGAGGGTCCACGGCCCACGTTCTACAGGCAGTACGGATGGCAGAACTGATAGACGAGACGCTGCGAGCGCTCTGTCTTCTTCATGATGCCCTTCTTGTAGTACTGCCGGATGGATCGCGACAGCTTGTCGTAGTTCATGGCTGGACGGTTCTTCCTCTGGCCCCAGAGCTTCGCCACGCGCACAGAATCCTCGATCTTGAACACTCCCTTGTTCCTGTCCAGCCAGCGAATGGCTGTGCCGTGCTTCTGCGGTGACGCCAGGAGTTCCTTCAGAAACTGCCACAAGTGGATGTGCGAGCTGCCCTGTCGGTTGGATTTCTGTCCACTGGCGACGTCCACGGGCGCCAATGGCATCTCCTCATCCTCATCTGCAAGCAAAGACGACTCATAAGTGAATGATGCGGTGAAAGTGTTTTTGAATCACGACAAGATGGCGGGAAAACCGCCAAATTGCGCAATCGCCATGATTCACGAAATAAAGCACTTCATTTGCCAATAAAAGTGTCTTACGCGACTCTCACTTGCGCAAGAGGAAAGACACAATTTCATGCTAAAAAGCGTCAATGGAGGAAAATGTGTGTGTTGAAAAAAGCACAAGTGGGAAATCCAGTAATCTCTGCAATTGAACACAATCACGAGTAGTCTGAGATTCCCATGGGATGAAAATTCTCGGAAAATGTGTTATTTGTCTAGCCATTGGCAGTCATTTCAGATTAATTGCCGTGCAATCACGCTCTCTTATGTTAAGAGGCAACGGAGGAATTTAGCTAATTAAGTAATTTTCTAGGCTGAGGGCACAGGGCGAGACACTTTTGATAAACTCTTAGACAATTTCCAGTGAACAAGAGAGACTCCAATTGATAACTCACCATCACTCGGCTCAGCACTTTGGCTGCCTTCGGGGCTCCAAGCGAGATTGTTGCCAGCACTCGACGTTGGCACTTGTATTTGTGGGGCATCGCTGCATGCAGCTTTCCAAATCTCCAGTTGAGCATACAATGTGCCGCCAACCTAAGCCAAAATACATCAACATGAAATTCGCATTTCTCACAAGAACCTCCTAATTTGCATGTTGAGATTCGGCGCGCCGTTAAGAAGGCATGCGGAGAACCGCTAAAATTACTCTTTTTTTTTCTTCTAGGAAGGAAAGCTCATGAGTTGCGCTCATGAGTTGGCGATGGTATGCTGGTGAAAGTGACAGCCTACTTTCTTCTTGTTAGCGTCGAACTCAATGCAAATTGCCATGACGTCAATGCGGTCAGCATTTGCCCGATTCAGGTAGAGAATATCAATTACCTGAGGTGCTCGGCGCACAAACTCCTCCTCAGACATCTGGTACAGTCCTGGGCCATCCTCCATGAACAGCGTCTCCAGGTCCTTCACCGGTGGCAGCTTGAATTGCTCAATGGTCAGCTGGAGCCACGCCTGGACCTGCACAGTTGTCCACTGTTGAGGATCTAGAATCGGAATGTGTCAAGATTAGATTTATATATGCCGTGTTTTACTTTCAAAAAGCACGGCCTTGGCGCGCACAGAGACAAATTGCTCTGAATATGAGATATTCAGTGGCGTAGTGATTCACGACAGTCAATTTCTCAAAAATGGCTGTGATTCCTCAAAACCCAGAGAGATTTTATACTACGGCCAATTGCATGACGAAGTGGGAAATTCTCAATGACTGAACTGCAGAAAAAAATTCTAGCTAGAATTAATTGGACAAGGTATTGCGCGATAGAGAAAACAGCGTGAGCTCAGTAAGTAATTTAAATAAATCATTATCACAATGCGTGGCTTGACTTGAGTGCCTTATCGCGTCCAGTGATAAGAGCGCAAACACAATTATCTCGTGATACATATTTGAATAAAAACCGCCCGCCCGGCTGATCATGCGGCACTCTTACCTGGCGAGATGCTGAGGGTGGCGCAGGTGGCCTGGACATCCCGTCTGGCGTGCTCGAGAGCGAGAGAGATGACGGGTTCAATGTCACCACGCGTGCCCCAGCCGCCGATTAACGACTCCAGTGCCAACGGCTTCAGGTTGTGCTTTTTCTGGAACGTCGTGTCCTGTAGATACTCGCGAAGGAGCTGATGGTCCTGCCGCTTGGGCGCCTCGAAGTCTTCCAGCGACTTCTGCAGGAACGAATCCAGGTCTATGCACGTCTCCGTGTCGCTGTCCGTGGGCTCAGACTTGACACAGAAGGGCGACGGCACGCCAGAAGAGTCTGGCGGCGATGGCGGAAGCAGTGCGAATTCCTGCTTCACCGTAAGCTCAGCCACGGGACTCGGGGATGGCGAGAAGACCCCGATGATGGGCTCCTGCGGCGGACTCGGCAGCCCGATGGCGAAATAGGGAAAGTGGGCGGGATCGGGGTGCGACCAGGCCTTCGGCACGGTGGTCGGAATGAAGTCCCCGCACTCCTGCGAGTCAGGACTCAGGGGCACTTCGCCGTCGCTCGGCAGGAGGGACAGATCAAAGTTGTCAGCGTACGAGGTGTAGGCGTCCGGGGTGTAGACGCCAGCTGGGACTGTTTGTGGTGTCTGCAAGATAAACATTTGCACCTCTGAGCATGTCTTATCGGGAGAATTGGGATGATTGCGTCAATTGGCCAAAAATAGAGAGTAACATCTCTCAAATATTTGCTCACATTTTGCGTACTGTTTCACAATATAATATTCTTATCATGCCAATAAAGTGATGTGCAGTGATGAAAGTAAGTTTCACCCTCTAATCACATTCCCATGCTGTGACTCCGAGTGACGTAATGACTCAATATTAACCAGAGTTTGACCCGCGGAAAGTCAATTTTACGGCCTTGATGCCACAACTACCGCATTTATACCTCTTCACACTATATTGAATATTGCAAAATGGCAACCACTGAACCTTTGCAGAGGTATAGTGCTTATGTATAGTGTTTTTCTTTTTGGGGGAAAGAGTAGAAAGTAATTGTAGCAGTAATGCATTACATTTGTGATAATAAACTCCTTACACACGCGCGATACTGGAGAAATCCAAAAATACACTCACACAGTAGTATTAATTAAAATTGATGATTTTGTGTAACTTTTCACCAAACAGTTGCCAAAAATGTGAAGCTCTGCGGATGTCGCGATGGTTCTAACTCGAGTGCGACACGGACAAAATTGCGAAATGATTGAGCCGGCGTTTAGTGAAAAAATAAAAATATTTGCCATTACTGGAAGTGTCTTTCCTGGCCTCGCGGTTTTCTCAGGTGTTGAGCGATCGCACGATCTCGCTCTCCCTTCCACACATTTTTTCTCCATACGTATTCATCGCGACTGCGTCACTACGGCGGCGTCCAACCGCGTCAATTGGCGTCAAAATGTAAATTGATTTACCTCTCGCGAGCGCTGGGGATTTCCAGTGCCCGCCAGGAATGCTGATATACTCAAAATGGAACTTGGTATCTCTCTCGCACTCTGGCTTTTTGGCAATCAGGATTTTTCATGGTACATAACATAAGAGACTCGGTCGGAAAGACGATGATAAATAATGCAAATAGCCTACACGCGAACCACTTTGGACTCAAAAATTCGACAGTGATTTAGAATTCTTCTTCTCCACATATTTCTTCCTCAGCCAGAGAGGACAGAAGACATGCGACTCACTCAAGATAGTTCTGAAGAGGGGGTGATAAATTAAGCTAGGCTGTGTGGATGATCACATATCGTGGCGATAACAATACAGTAGCCACACAATTTCCCTACTAATCGTGACATAAGCTCTGCGGTGTTGTGCTTGAGAGGGAAACTTATGTGGAGTTTTACTCATCTCTGGAATTTCCCATATTACAAAAATTTCATCTCCGCCACCACGCATTTATAATATATTTGAGCAGTGTATTATTTTCTCAAATCACGACAATATCTCTTCACTCTCCCCACCTTTAGTCGCTAATTCTTCGCCATTTTTCCATCTCGGAGCACAACTCCGCACAATCTCCGTAATATGTTAATGCGAGGATGAATGAGCATAGCTTGGAAATGGTAATTTCTGTAGATTCCACCATCAATTCTAATTATCATTGTTTTACAATTTAATACACAGCGCTGAATTGAATATAGGTAAAATGTATAAAAATTTATTGACGCAATTCAGTGGCAAATTTATTGAGAACTATAAACAGTGAGTGGATGACATGTTCATAAATATCACAAACTAATTCATGATATGCTCATTGATGAGGTAATAATAAGAGCCTTCTATGGAGTTAAGAGAGAAGTGGACTAACTTTCCTTGAAAACACATTCGTGGAAGCAAAGTGGAAGCATCTTTCCATGGGGAGCGCAAGTTCAATGTTGAATCAATATCATAAGCATGTATTTTAGCATCACGCACAGCTTTATTGCGTGCTTATGCTCAAAAAGACGCATTACAGAGGTCCATGACGCAATCATGATGCATCGAAAGATTCATATCGGAATGCACATAAATATCTAAACATGGAAGTGAGAAAATTGCGCTTCTCAGGGAAGGTGAGATGTTAGAAGCTCCTTCAGTTCATTAAATAAATCTTAATATTGTTCATGTGATACTCTAACTACGCCCATGTGCAGAAAGGACTTCACTTTGGTGCTCTTAACTTTAAAATATTCCGAGAAATTGCAAATGAGCCACAGCGATAATCAGAAAAATAATTTTTCGCCTCTTCTAGGCTCCGTGTACACATTCTATTTGAGTAAGAACGGTGATAAAAAGCGGCATTGTGAGATGAATTACGTCAAAAGTTGCTTTATTGTATTGGCCCAAGGTCGAGATCGCCAAAAACTTGAAATTTCTTGAATAAATACCAGCCGAGTTGGTCAAGATGCGAACGAAAAAATTCAATAACATTTTTTCACCACCTCAGGCAGCGTTCTAAATATAGGTTCTTGCCTCTCCACACCCCAAAACATCGAGGGATATGTCGCAGTCTGGGTCGCAAAGTGTTATTTATCCATATCTGTGCCTTTGGAGCATGATTGGAAATAGATGATTGAACAAGGAAAAAAAACTGGGTGTATTGTAAGAGAAGAATTACGATCGCCTGAGGCAAAGGTGGGGCTATTTGACTTGGAGCATAACGTTGGAAGTCGCCTTTTCGTTCCAATTGACTTCACGCCTGTGTGCTTGTTTTGCTCTACCCAAAGCAACTTTTAATGCTCGCGAGATATTCTTTTTCATCTCTGACTTCTTCTTCTCCTCCTCTGGAGCTTGATCTTTTTCAATACTGGAACTTTATTCATATCAAGGCTGTCCACTTTACCTTGTTTGTCGCTGCGCGACTTCAGTTCCTGATTTTCGCTTATGGCACACAACCACTCTTGAGACTTTTATGCTTCAAGTCTTTTATCTGCGCGCGCTGAGAGAATTTCACAAGACATATTCTCACACAATGAGAAAGAGACTCTCTAGATCAATTTTCATACATTTCATTTTCGTTCTTCCGAAGTGTCCATTCTCATTTTCACACCGCGCCGCAGATGATCTTTGCCGCAGCAAGAAAATGAATTACCTCAGTGATAATGGCTCCATCCATTGAACGTCTCTCTTGCCTCTTGTACGCTTTCTAAATTCTGTGCCGATGACGTCAAACGCAAATGGATAAATAGACAAAACATATAAATAGATTGGAGTTGTTCATGAAGCACAAAGCTCCACACGAATGTTGATCGTTCGATAAATTCATATTTTCCAACGTCAGCACAAGCATTTTTGCCCTATAACCCAGTCATTTGGCCCTCACAATTCTCAAGTCACTCTCTGGAAGGCATTTTCACCAGATTGACACATTCTTTTACAGTTATCCAAGCAATAAAATGTATATTTGCCAAGAGAAATGACGATGAGGCATTCAGTGAATTTCATTATTTGGTGAAATTTCACACAAACACACTCGCGCACTGTCTTGTGGCCAAGACCGAGTGTTAACTTTCATTTGTACGTGAAACGACCTTCAAGATTGTTTTATAATATTATTTTCTCAAGCAACACTAATTTCTTCGGCACAGAGTGCTCCTCAAGTGTCGCATCGACCGCATTTACCAGCGAAGTGACTCGCTCTTGCCTTCGCCTCTGACTCCACATCGCCGCGGTATCTCTTGGGCGACACTTCGCGGCCAAGGCATGCCGATGACAGCAAGAGAAACATACCTCAGTGACCTACATTCGTCCCAGCAAATCTCTAAAAAATCTCCGCTGTTCTCTTCTACTTCACTTTTTGCCCTCCGCAACTCCCATTCAGTCTTTGCGGTCTCGACACGCAATCCGCGGCTACCAATGCTGCACTTTTGCGTGCAGAAGTATTCCGGCTAAGTGATTTGTTTTGTAGGAGAAGAAACACTTTAATTGCTAGTTTTAGGGAAGTCCGACATGAGCGCTTTGAGTGGAAAACTTGCGTGAAATACAATGGAGAGCTTTGAGAAAGAGCTGGCAAAAATGTCTGTGGTTTTATGAAGTAAATCACGCACAAATGTTTCATAATACTACTTTAGTGCATTAAACCGGCTTGAAAGTGTTTTTGGGAATTTTTATTTTTAATAAAAGAAATTGTTTTTCATTTTCCTTGCATGTTTTGTGGTTTCTGAACGAAAATAATCAGCAAATAATTAACATTTGTCGCTTCAAATTTTTCATTTTTGTTTACTATCCATGAACAAACTAATATTTAAAGCTATGATTTTCATAATCATCTGTCTTTAAACCTTTTTTTTTAATTCAAGATCACACGAAATATAGTTGATGAGCCTCTAAGAAGATTCAACGTCAATCAACCTCTTAACTTAAGAACATGCTCAATTTCTCCAAATCAAGCAATCTTGTATCCAAATTACCCGTCCAATGAAATTTGGTAAAACCAGTACGCAGAAAAATTGTCAATACGGAGGAAAATTACCACCTTCACTTAGCTTGTTTCAATTAACAAATCAATGCAAATATTCTAATGTGGAAAATTTGTATACTCTCTGTTACCTGTTTCCTCCTAGTCATCGACGATAATTGCTGACTGGTGGTCAAGGTGGTCACTTTTTTTTTTGCTAAATTGTCAGACGCAGAAAGTGCTCTCAGACAATGCTACACAGTGAAGTGAACTTTTTCAAATAAAACCCGTGATTTTCCGCGAAGAGGCAAAATCGGCTCAACGCACTTTTCCTTTGCGTCAAGAGTGTGGCAAAAGTGGCTTGAAAGCCTACGCATGGATTGTTAATTGAATTAAAAATGCCAATTAGTCTTTTCCGTAGAATCTCGAATAATTGATATGAATTTCTTGCAATTTCCATCCGTTTTTTTTTCTTTCATCGAAAATTGTTTCCTCGAAAAAGGGGAGATTAAGCTTTTCATTTGCTACAATAACTCAAGTATTTTCATCAAATAAGTGTGAGAATTCTGTGGATTCTGTGAAAAATACGGCAATTATTGCCACTTGATCATCACCTGCAATTCACAACGTCACTCTAGAGAACGCGATGCATTTGCGCGCTTTTCCTCAAATCACTTTACAAACACAGGGTGATGCCGAAGTTATCGCAATAAGAATTTGCAAACAAATTAACTCACCGTTTCTCGAGGGTAGTACATCTTCTCATAGATCATCTTCTGGGCTTTTTTTTCACGGATTGTCTTGCTGGAGATCTCTCGACAGTGGAAAAAATGTTCAACAACCAACTCAATGGAAATTAACACACGTTCAGAAAGAAAATCTCTTCAAAAGTGTCACATAGGTCTATCTTGTAATTCACCACGATTTCCAAATGTTCCTCAGCCAAATCACTCTCATTGATAGGAATCGCGAGGAATTTCCACTAAAACTTTTCTGCTGGTGTGGAAATTTTTCCTGTGATTTTACTGGTGAGATTGGAGTAGAAAAAAAAACACTCACTCAAGTACAGAATCAACCACTCTGTTCGACGTTCAACTCATGAGTGTGTCTCCAATTCATGAAACAAGTTTTGAAAGTTTCCACACCGTGATCTCGCGGCTCCAACACAAACGCACAACGCTCGTCTCTGTGTGGCTGACGATCAACACACCTTGAATCACACGATTAATGGCAGAGCTATGTTGCTTCGCTGGCACCCAAATATTCGTTTAATCCTCTCAGTTTCCAACTCTTGGATCGCCTCTCGAGCCAAACAAATGCTTTTAAGGAAAATTCTACACCCAAGAGCCACATTATCCTCTCCTCATGAGCATCCGTCGATGGCGCGGAAGTGACAGAGAGTTCCATGACAAAATTAATCCAATCAACAACCGAAAGTGTGGGCTTATCAGCGACATGAAAATCTGAAGCACTGATAACGAGAGTCACAGAGAAAAGTGGGTGTTTTGCGCAGAATGGAAATCTCGAGGATTGAAAGGCGAGAAGTGGTTTCTCTGAAATTGATTAACAAGACAAGCGATGGTGCCGGGATCAATCTGATCCGTTTTACCACATTCCACACATGTTGGCAAAGCATTTGGCGAACTGTTTTTTTGCCATGACTGTAATTTCCAATTGCGTCCACGAAGTGGAATAAAAACAGTCCCGATTCTGAGTCTCATTCTCTCTCTCGATTGCTTTTCTCAATGATCAAAAATTCAATGCTGAAGTCAAATGAGCAGAAATATGCAATTTATGTGTTACTTTCGCACAACTATTTCAGTCATTCACTTTGGCTCATGATCATCGAAACATGGACAATTTCACGACAAATATGCAACAGCTGAAAGGAAACATTTGTGATGTTCAAGTGTGGGAAAATTGAAGCATTCTGCAAATTCTCTGCAAGAGATATTATTCAATTCTTCGCGTCATCGTAAAAAGTGATTTTCTTTGCCATTTTCTACTCCACATGCTCCACATAAATGCTCAAGTGATCTACATGAAATATTGAAGCCTAATCGTTAGCTGGTGTTCAAACCTTCTGGAGCAGCGAAACCATAAGAGATCTCTTGTGTTTAAGAGTTCCGTTTTCTATTGCGATCTGCATAAAATTGCAAAATATCTCATATAAAAAGCGTACTATTGTAATGAATGAATCACTCAGAACGTATTGAAAATTCCAAGCGGGAGATAATATAGTCATAAGTGGTGTAAAGCTCAGTGGAAGTGTTCAAAAATTTGCAATATTCCTTTCCTGATTGCTTCTTTCCTTTTTTGGATTGCTCTTAATTTTTACGCTAGAAATAATCATAAAAATCCTTTTCTATATTATATAACGGATCAAGGACTGATTTAGTGAATATTTCGCATTCCAGCACATCAATTCTTATGTTAAAGTCGGCAAGATTGTTAGTCTTTGACAGAATTATGCATTTTCAAGCAATAAACGTTGTTTTTCTGATCCTTCGATGCCAAGAAACACTGCAAATTGTGTTCAGATTGAACATAACCTAAAAAATATTAACTATATTAAATATTAATATTTATTTAGAACACTTTCTGGACAATTCCGATGTAGGAAGCTTCCAAATGGAAAAGACACCCAAAAGGAAGTTTTAATTTAATTCTTATCGGAGAATTACTCTGCAATCAGTCGAAAAACTCAAGTGCTGGAAAATTCTGAGATATCTTAATTTCGTATTTCTCATTAACGGATGTCAAGTAAAGACTGATTGAGAAAAGACTTTAAGAAAAATGCTTAGTCAATTCTTCGTGTATTCAGAGAATTTACACTCGATATTTGTTTGACATCAGCTTCTACGTATTTCCAATCAGACTGAAAAGTCGGCGTTACGAAAAAGAATAATAATAATAACTGAATAAAGTTTGCTGAACCCTGTCAAATCTTAAGCAAAAAAAGACAAATATTCCCTATAATTCTTAATATTTAACCAAGACTTCGTTTTTATCGATAGAATATAATCTAATTTGCGGTGTTCATCGAAAATGTTAATCACTAAGTTCTTTTTTTCCTTAGAATATTCGAGCGGCGCTTATCTGTAAACTGTTTACAGAGTATATAGAGATAAAAGGAAATTACCTTAATTTATGACATTCGTTTTATTGATTTATTAATAAAATTAATAGTTATTGTGGCGACGCGTGCCTTATCAATTCGCGGTATCGATGCAGCTTTTCTTGGAGCTATAAAATATTTCGATAAGATTGATGGAAAAAGTAATTTGGGGAATCACCCGATAGTGAAATTGTATGAAAACGCATCAATTTGCATGTGAATTTTACTGTTTAGTGCAAATGTTGTCAGAATGAGTGAATTGAAGTGTTAGAATTTGAAAATAGAACTGATGTAAAGCAAATATTGCACTTGTAAGCGACGCAAAACTTACGAAGCAATGCTAATTAAACAATCTTTGCGTACACAAAGTTGTATTAGGAATTACACACTGTAATATATCTTATTGTTGTGCTAATTCGAAGATTGACGAGCGTATTGAAATTCTGAGAAATTGATACCGACCTCCAAAGTGATAACGACACTTCTCCTGCCATTTGGGTATTTATAAGTACCATTTGTGTGGCACTAACCAGTCTGTGGAAATAATTGAAATCATGCACGTGAAAAGTAACACAACGAGGAAGAAAGTGATGAAGATTTCCTTCATTTTCCTGGGATTCCTTCTAGTCTCTTCTGTGCTAAGTTTTGAGCTCAACGAGTCCGGCATCTATGAATGCTACGTTTGTGACTCTACGGACTTGGAGGACGACAAGTATGAGGACTGTGACACACATTACAAGAAAATGGGCAAGCAAGAGTGCATAATTGATGACCGAAAGTATCACTCTATCACCGATTATGTCTGCTATCGCGCAGTATTTTTCCGTGAGTGATGGATTTTCAGCACCCTAAATGCAGTATAATTTCACATAAGCTTTGCAGACATTGATGAAGGATACGTTATAATGCGAGGATGCGAAGTGAAGGACATTTGCAATGACATGCGAAATTACTATTATTCGCTGAACAACAGGTCAAGAGACGTCCCAGTGTCGTGTCACATTTGCAACACAACTTTGTGTGATCCTCTTGAAGCCGAAGATCACGAGAGTATGAAGTGGTGTGCATGAAAATGCTGCAAATGTCTCTTCAAGTCCTTGTTTCTTATTGCAGATGATTGGGTTAGTGACGAGTGCCATCACATTGAGCAGGACGCTGAATGCATAGAAGACTAACGGAGACATACAATGTCAATGACCTGAATTCAGCAAGTTAGAGATAATTTTATTTTCGTACAACGGACAAAAACTGCCATTATAATTTTATGAGCAAATAAAAATAATGAAAATTGGCGGCATTTTAGCCAAGTGATAAACCATTTCATCGGATCTTTTCGGCTTTTTCTTCCGCATCGCGCCTTGAAATATTAAGACGGCTGGTATGAGAACTACACTTGACGATTGCGTATTTTGTAAACATTCTTCCCGCGACTTTTCCCCAAATTCTCCTGGCAAATTAATTGCATTTTTCCAATGTCAGAATGAGTGAGAAACTTATACAGAACATTGCGCACAAGCTGGGCTATCGACATAACACACAAATCATTCAGTGAGTATCATTTGTCACCAAAGATATTGGAGGTTATGGTTTGACCGGCTGTTTTTCACGCAGGAAAATCACAGAAAACTCCCGATTGCTGCATTTGAAGCAGAATGCTGTAATGTCAGGACTTGGGGAGATGGCTAAGCTGGTCATCTGTACAGATTTAGCAGCCTCGACCATCGGATTGTCCTTCGACATGGTAAACAAAGGCCAAAGTGTATTTCTGAAAATTCTCTGCAACTTCCACATTTCCAGGAAACAGCCCTGAAAGTATCCGGAATGAGGAAGGCACAGTACGCCAACTACAGGAGAATCATCCAGAAACTCATCGGAAACAGTAAGAGTGTGAAAATTCCCGATCTTTGCCTGCAATTGGGTCTGCCTAGACACGTTCAGGAGGCTGCAATTCAGCAGCTTCCCAAGTACCTCGGCTACATGACAAGAGTCAACAGAGGACTGGATGAGAAGCATCCGCAGTACGCTGTTATTGTGCTGTACGGAATCGCTCGTCAGAACAAGGTGAGAGTGTCGAAAAGTGCATTTGCGAATGTCTGCAATCTCAAGACTGATCAGTGGAAGATCCTCGAAGAGTCCTGGGGGAAATTCAACAAGGAGTCTCAGGAGGAAGTGAAGCAGAAAAAGGGGGAAGATGATGTTGAGATGGTGGTTGAAGAGTGTAAGACGGAAGCGACAACAGATGAAGCTGAGGACTATGAAGTGTGGAAGCAGAGAATTCTGGCCAAAGCTTATGAGGATTTGAAGAGGAGGAAGTAAAGAGAAATCACAGTCACACGCAGTTTATTTACAATCAAATCTCATAAATTAAAGCAGAGGGACTCTCGCTCTGGGGTTAGAAGGTTTTCTTATTGCGCTGCGGCAGAATGGACTCCTTGGCGTAGTTGAAGAATGTCAAAAGGCCTGTCTTTTTCTTGCTAGAAAAGTAGTTCGTCACAACATCGTTTTCACCTGCAAGAGAGAGCAAATCGTGAGATTTTGTCCCCAACGAAGGGGCAGAGGGACTCACTGAGGAGGTGGCTGCGCTCGTTCACCGTGGGCAGGACGTTGTCGTTGGCGCTGAGGGAGACGAAGAGGGCGAAGGGCACGAGCCACAGGCAAATGGTGAAGTACGCGATCACCTCGGACAGCATGTAGTAGTGATTGGCGAAGAAGGTGAATGCCAAGTAGTTGTTGATGAGGAGCAGTATCACAGATCCGAGGAATGAGAATGAGAGGAACTGGACATAGGGGAAGTTCTTCATGATGAGCGCATGAATGCCCTGCGCCAGCAAACCGCACAAGATCATTAGCCAAGGAAGGCTGTCGAAGAGCGCCAGCAAGAAGTAAACTGCCGCCGTGGACAGAATCATGCCAAGGATCACCTTCTTCGCCACCACCGTGTACTCCTCCACCAGCTCAGCCAAGTAGTAGAGCCCCGCCGCTGCAAGAGGAGCCCCCGTGAGACTGTGCATCAGCCACTGGTAAACAACGTTCGACTTACCGATCGAAATTGTGGCGAAGGTGATCTGCAACAGCAGTGAAATATAGCTCAGAACGTAAAGGAATCCCATCTCTTCACCACGTCGTCACGCGCAGAGTGCAAAAAGGCCCAATTTAAGCGTATTTTTGATCATTTTAGAGGACAACACTCAGCTCTCCTGCGGAGCTCCACATCACACTTTGAGGTTAGGTTAAAACGTCAATATATAACTTCTTCTCCTATTCGCCGGTCGAGAAAATAGCGCTCGAGTCGCATCGCGCCATGAAATTTTAAATCCAACGAACTTAACCCATTGACCCGCGAGTATGCAAATTAAACACCGCTCTCTTCACTTCACCAGGATGCCTTTATTCCGCGGGTTAGTTGGGGCGCTCAGGAACATATTAAGCAGGCAGGAGAATCTTGGCAAACAGCATGACGATCAAGTAGCCAAAAATGGCATAAATAGTGTATACGATAGTGTAGTGCATCAGTTTGAAACGATTCAGGCGGCGTTTGGCAGCTGGAATGGTGTCTGGAGACTCTTTCATGAGGTACTGTCTGATCCCCATCACGGTGCTGTTCATGTACGTGTCCCAATCCAGTGAGGCCATGTCGAAGAAGAATATTTCGCGATCGCGCTCTCCCAGTCTCGACCATAGAGCCTCCGTGTTGGCGTTGGAGAAAGTGAACTTCATGTGGGTGAAGAAGAAGATAACGTCGCAGTATTTCTTGATCTTCTTGTAGATATCAACCATCCTAGGTCGCTTGCCTACGAGGCGCAGACACAGATCCATGCACACGGCCGGGATAGTGTGATAGAAGAACCACAATATCGCAAACCACATCTTGGAGTCTGTGACGGTGAACGCCGTGTACCAAATACTTTTCATCGTGGGCACCTGTGGAATTAAAATCTTCTGTAATTACTGGATTACAGAGATGGTAGATTTTGTACTGACCTGCGATCCATGCTTCCAGGCGTAGTCAATGTACTGTCGCCAGCGGAACTTATTGCCAGGCGTCGTGACGAAGTTTAGAATGGGTGTTTCCGGGTGTTGATGAGTGACTCTGTCCCAGGCGCTAACCAGGATAGCATTTACGCACATGTCAACTGGAACCAGTTCGGCATTGTTGTCCTTGTGCACGTGACACACGTGGATCAGGCCCGCTCCGACGCCTACCACCATCCCTGTGGGTCCGTACATGTTGTCAATCCATCCGATTACAGGCTCGTGAGCAGTGGGCAAGACTGAAAGGTTTGAAGGATTGAGAAATGAAACAAACATTGCGCAGAAATCTATATTCACCAACTGCTGGCCTGACAATGGCTATCGGCAGATCCTTTCCCTCCGTCTTAATGAGGTCCTCTGCCAGGGCTTTCGTGAAGGTATATGTATTGGGCCACCCGCGAGATAGCTTCTCTCCAACACCTTCCAGTGTGCTCTCGTCGAGTGCCTCATAAAGCTGCAGCGCTTTTACGGCGGACAAGCGATGAGGGTAGAATCTCTCGTCAATGTCGGGCCTATTGCAGTTGGCATAGGCTGTGCTCACGTGCACTGCAGACACGAGATTTTTGATCTCTCGACAGAGTGTCAGCACCTCACGCGTGCCGTTCACATTGATGCCCATGGCAATGTTGAGCTTCTCGTCGAAGCGAACTGTGGCAGCCACGTGAAAGACAATGTGCACATTGGCCATCAGCAAGGCTCTGTCTTGAGCAGAGATGCCGAGGCCCGGCAGTGAGCAATCACCGGCAATAGGATGAACACGATAGCGAAACTTTGGCTGCTGCTGGCGCAGCCGATCGTACACAACATCATCCAGCAGCTCCTCGACGCGTGTGTGGATATTTTTCCCCTTCTTGTCCCGGATCAGCAAGTATATTGTGTCAATGCGACAGGTGCGAAGGAGTTTCTCCATGATGACTAGGAGGAAATAGAGAGGAATAAAAGATCTTCCTTACCAATCATCCAAGGCTCTGAGCCTAACGAATAATGGAAATCAAATAAGGAACAGCAGTTTTAGAGTTTTTAAACGGTTTAAACCAGAGAAATGTTCAGCATTAAATCGAGTCTGGCAACCGATCAAGCTCATCTCGTCAAAATCTTAGCAATGTGTATTCTTATCAATATGATTTTGGATGAAAAGCGCATTTGATGACTTTCAGCAGTTTCTCTGGCGCGTCGACGGAAAACCAGTAAATTGAAATATCAATGCGAGTGTTGATGGGTTAATTTACAAATGATTTAGCACATTTTGCTGTTGCCTCACTTTTGCCCAAGAAGCCCGTGCCTCCGGTCATGAAGATGCTCCTGCCGCCGTAGAACTGCTGCACCTCCGATTCTGCATCTGGCGATAGAAATGCCGGTGATTAGCGAAATGCGCGCACGGCGTGGCGGGAGAAACGGGTGGGGACAGAATTGCACACTCTTCTCAATGCTATCCACATAGAGTCAATTGTTTGCTGTGTTAGATCATGGACGAAAATACGTCACAAGGTCCGCAAAAAAGGGGGCCACAGTGGGTGCTTCTTCTCACCGTGATTCTCCTCCATTTTTCCGATTCCTTCTATTGGCGCGCGCCGCTGTGAAGTGTTGTTCTGTGAAATTCCTGGTTTTTGTGCGTCTTTTTGAGACTCTCTGGCGCACTTGTTCACTCTGCACAGCGCTGATCCACCTGCGATTGCTTCTCACCACGAACTGATGCTCTCCAGGTGAGGCTCTCAATGTGTCCCGAATGGTGGGGGGCAAGTGAGATGCGAGAGAGCTCCAATGTCACTTAGCTTCATTTGAATTGACGCAGAGCAAAGTCTTATTAGAGATCTCAGCGCGATTCGAGCCATTCATGCGTGCGCATTGTGAACATATGAAGCGATTGGCAAGCAAATTGCTGTACAACATGTAATGTGTCTTCAAATATTGATATTTTAGAATTCACAAATTGAAGGACAAGCAATGAATTTACATTTTTTTTTTTGCTCATTTAGTCAAAAATTAAACGGATGATTTGGCAGATTTTGGGTATGGAAGGATTTGGAGGACGCGCTTGGCGCCAAAACAGTTTCAACTTCTCAACACCAATGATTCTTTGGCACTGCTGGACGGTTTAAAGGTCCCGTTCTCGCGTCCGGGATTCATCGAGAAATGTCACGAGTGTATTTTGCGCCAAAATCAGCGTCAGTCTTTGTTTTTCTTTCAATCCTGTCTCCCAGTGAATTTCTGAATATTCCCTGTCCTGTGTGCGCCTCAAGATGAATCGCAATGGAACGCAGCAGCACGACGAGATGCAGTATTTGCAGCTGATCGAGCGGATCATCGAGACCGGCGCCAAGCGAGACGACAGAACTGGCGTGGGAACCTTGTCACTCTTTGGGGCACAGATGCGGTTCAGCCTGCGCGATGACGTCTTTCCGCTGCTCACCACGAAGAGGGTGTTCTGGCGAGGCGTGGCAGAGGAGCTGATCTGGTTCATTCGCGGATCGACGGATGCCAAGGAGTTGCAGAAGAAGAACGTGACCATTTGGAATAGTAACAGCACGCGCGAGTTCCTGGACGGCATGGGCTTCACGGAGCGCGAGGAGGGCGACTTGGGGCCCGTGTATGGCTTCCAGTGGCGCCACTTTGGAGCGCAATATCGCACGTGCAAGGACGACTACACGGGTCAGGGAGTGGATCAGCTGCGCGAGGTGATCAAGCGCATCCGGGAGAAGCCCACCGATCGCCGAATCATTATGAGCGCGTGGAATCCCGTGGACCTGCCCGTGATGGCGCTGCCGCCCTGCCACTGCCTCGTGCAGTTTTACGTGGCGAACGGGGAGCTCTCGTGCCAGCTGTACCAGCGCTCCGCCGACATGGGCCTCGGCGTGCCCTTCAACATCGCCAGCTACGCCCTCCTCACGCGAATGATCGCCCACGTGACGGGTCTTAAGGCTGGAGACTTCATTCACACCCTCGGCGACGCGCACGTGTACCTCAATCACGTCGAGCCACTGCAGGAGCAGATTAAGCGCACCCCAAAGCCCTTCCCAACACTCCAGTTCGGGCGCAACGTCACCGACATCGAGGACTTCACGTTCGAGGACTTCGTCCTCAGCGACTACAATCCGCACCCCAAGATCGCGATGGAGATGGCTGTGTAGATTCTGCAAGAGAGTCAGGAGATCAGGGGAAGAGTAATAGATCATCTGTGAAGCTTCTAAACAATATTGTTCACTTTATATTGTTCCAATTGAAAAGATCTCCATAAACTGTGAGACCGGCGGATTCGGTTCTTTAAGAAAAATACAGTGTATAGTAGCTTTTCTATTTATAAATGTCCTCTCTCTCGGCGATAAGTTAGTTGTCCTCCTGGCCAGGATCACTCGCGGGACTCTCCTCTGTCCGCTGACTCTTGGCCGACACTTCGGCCACCAGTTGCTGGTCAGAAGCGACGGAGAGATTCTGCAAAGGAACGTGTGAGGATCAGTTGGCATTTGTGGTCTGTGAACACTGGTCAACAAAGCGTGTGCGATACTTGCGATGCAGGTGAGAAAATCATGCAGAAATGCCAGAAATTCAATGCCCTCTTCAAAGTCAACTGTGATAATGTGCTAGAAAAGCAGATTTATGCACATTCGAAAAGGTGCGAATTTATTTACAAGCGATGAATAAAACAGTGCTAATCAGTGCGGAAAGAGTATTAATCACTTCAAGACACACCACAAATCACATCCTCATATTGAGAAATGTATGTATTTCCTACATATTTCAAAAAGGGGTAATTCAGAGATCTTCCCCACTACAATCCTCATCAAATATATTGATGAAATAACGGCAAGGAAGAACAAAAAAGGAAAGTGAAGAGTAAATGAGCGCTAAAAGCGTGCCAAAGCGAACATGAGCAAGTCAAGATCAAGTACCTTTAGGCCCTCTTCCGCCAGCTCCACGCCGCCGGACTCCGCCTTGGACACCACTGGCGAGACTGGCGGCGGCGAGGACGAGGGCTTCAGCGACGGCGGCTCGTACGGCGTTCGCCTGGTGAACATGTTGTCGAGAATGTGATCGATATTCTCCACGTTGCTCTTCCCCTCGTCACTCCCCAGCTCGCTGTCCCCCCTGTCCATCTGCATCATTTGACTCGACGGCAGCCGGCCGCGCCCCTTGCCGCTGCGCTCTGGCGGCGCCAGGATCGGGATGGCATTCGTGGGGCGCCGCTGCGCCACGACCGCCCGCGGTTGCTGTTGACTCTGCGGCGCATAGTACGTAATCCCGCCCTGGCTCTGATGCGGGATGCTGGGCGTTGTCTGCAAGAGAGAGCATCACAGTGTCAATCCAATGAAAATCTCACGTTACTGCGAAATTCAGCACATCACGCTCGCCACACTCACCATTGAGTTGTAGTTCGGGTAGTTCGGATACGTCGGGAACTGAGCCGGTGTGGGTCCCATGTTCGGCGGTGGTACGTAGTTCAGGATCTGCTGAGGATTTGTCGATTGCGGTGGCGGCGCTATGAATGCCGGAGTCGTCTGCGCCGGCGGCACGAAGGCTGGCGTTGTGTTGTTAGCTGCAAACTGTGGTTGATATGCCTGACCAGGGATTGAAGCCTGAAAGCAATCACACAAGAGTTTAGCAAAATGTCTCACTGAGCTTCGCATTCAAGATACTCACGTGGTTCTTCGCCGCGGCTTGAGGTGTCGCGCGATGGGCCGGAAGCGGCGGCTGGCGGATGAAGTCCGGCGGGTAGAAGTTGGTGGACTGCGGCAGCGGCGGCTGCTGGGCCGTCTGCAGTGGCTGCTGTGTCGGCGATTGGGAATGGTGCGACTTGGGCTGGCGCAACTTCATCTTCGGCGACTCGCCCATCTCGTGAGTGTCCGACAGACCGGCCGGAGGCTGCTTCTGCAGCGGCGGTGACACCTTCAGCCTCTCCTGCTGCTCACGCTCAGACGACGCCACCATCTGGCCAGGGACTTGAGCATTTGTGGACATCACAGCACGTTGGCGCAGCGAAGAATACCGCTTGGGCGTCTGGCGCATGTTATCACTGTTGATGCCCATCGGCGCGAGATTGTTCGACGCGGCGGCGCCGGAGTGATTCCTCTGATGCTGCATCGCCTTCACCGAGTCGCCGCCGTAGTTGAGCGGCAAGTCGCGCGGCAGCATCACGCCCTGCTGACCCAACTGCGCACGATGGACGCCGTGCTGGCCATCCGCCCCCATCTGGCCGTGCATGTAGTTGGGCATGAACTCCGCGAACTCGTTCCCGTTGATGCCGTGCATCGGCTGCTGGTGCAGCTGGCGCCCTTTGTAGTCACCGCCGCGCTCATCCGCGTGATCCAAGTGCGTCTCGGCGCCGCCCTCCTGCACTGGCACGTTGTTGTTGCGCGTAATGATGAAGGAATCCGCCCGATTGTGCTCCACGCCGGAAGCTGCGTTGGCATTCTGCTGTCGCAGGCGATTCTGATTCTTGAACTCAATGCTCGACTTCACGCGGAATCCGGAAGAGAGATTTTTTGGCTTCAGCTGGTTATTATCGTGCGACGATCGCGCGTAACCCTCATCGTAGTGCGCCTGACTCTTGCCACTGTAGTGCTCGTGTTCATCACTCCCCATCTTCCTGTCGCCGCCGCGGCGACGCGCTCTTCCCGCCGGATTCTCGTCAATCTCCGGGAACTCCTCCTTGTTGTTCAGCGCAATCCGACGCGTCGAGGCCTTGCTGTAGGCATTCTCGTCCTCCCACTTCCGCGTGTACTTGCTCGGCCCGCGGCCGTAGCGCCTTCGCCTTCTCGCCCGCGGCGGACTCTCCTCATTGCGAATATCATAGCCATACGCGCTCACCAGCTCCGCCTTGGACTTGGGCGCCTGCTCGCTCTCGTCATAGCGATCGTGCGACCACCTGTCGCCCGACGATTGCCACTTCTTCGTGGACTTGGCCGCCGCCGGCGCCGGAGTGCTGAAAGACACCTTCTTCTCGCTCCCTTCGCCCTCAATCTCCGCCTCGGCGGTCTCGCCATCGCTGAAATGCACACAAAACACCGTCAGAAAGTGTAATTTATGCAATGTTTTCAAATTCTTTTCACCACACTATCATTTCTTCATTATCACACCACAGCTTCATTTCTACCATTCACAGGGCGAATGCATAGTAATTGATTTCATTACGCAAAATTGCGCACGTTCCACCACATTCTTCCTCCTCTTTTTTCTTTGCCATGAAACATTCTAGCAGAAATGTAATCCATTCAAGAGATTGTATATTTTCATTTTCATGACACGCCGAATTGCAATTATAAAATAAAATGAATAGAAAATATTTTGCCAGCGCGCTTAAAGAAGGAGAGATTGAAAAGGAAGCCAACATTCAAGGGAAAAGTGCTCCAATCTCCCCTAAACGAGCTGTTTAAGTGGCCTCTTTCGAAATCCCTGCTGACAATAGCATTTCTCAGCGATAAGACAGCCGCGGAGAAGCTGAAACTGAGTCTAGAGATGACAGAAACTTACGCATTCTCCGCCGTTCTGTCGTCGTGCTCGTAAAAAGTGCCCCTTTTTGGTATGTACTGCGGATTGCTTCTGTCCTCGTCATCGTCCACCTGCCGCTTGGCCTCCAAGATCTGGCTCTGCGTCATCTCGGGGTTCTCCTCGTCCTCCTCGCCGGACTCCATGCTGGATACGTCCTCCTCCTCCTCCTCCTCATCGTCCTCCTCGTCGTCCGGCGCGTCGTCGTCGTCATTCTCCTCATCGTCGCTGATCTCAATCACCTCAGCCTTCTGGCTCACCTTCTCGATGCCCGTCTCCGAAGTCGTGCTGTCGCTGGCTGTGTTGTACTCAGAGTCGTGCTGGCAGGACTCGGCGCAAGTCTCCTGCTCCTGCAAAGGAAAGAGGACATCCGTGAGAGGGACAGAGAGAGAGAGAGACGAGTGGCCGCTCGTGGGCGTCGCGGTGACCCAGAAACAGGCGGTGTAGAAAGTGGTGGTTAGAAAGTGTGATCGCGCAAGAGAGTGATCGGCGGATTCTCGAGAAAAACAGCCCATCAACCGGGCCGGAACACATCCTCCGGGAGCCACCTAAAGTCCGGACAGCCGCTCTAATTAACTCCAATGCCTCTCCACACGCCGCAATTTCTCACGCGTGGCTTTGGATCATTGGCCACAAGACAGTTTCTCGCCATTCGCAGCGAAAATGCCTGCGTTGGCCTGCGTGAAGTGAGAAATTGCAGTGAACCAGAGCCAAATGTCGTGACCAATTTTTCTCGGGCCTTCTCCACGATGGGGCTTCGCGAGGCACATAAAGGCGTCCACTTACGGTCAAATCCTCAGCATATTCCGCCGATCCGGCATCCCGTGCAGCAGAAGACTCTACCGAGACGGACTTTGCGACACTTTCCATCCTTCAGTTGAGTCTTTTCACGCGAAAAACTTCACACACAGCTTTTTCCTCTTGTAAATGCTACGAAACAAAATGTCACTTCGCGGAACGGAAAATGAAGGACTAGATGACAAGTCAGGGTGGGACTAGAGCGCCATCGCAGTGAAGTGAGTGGAAGTACTAAACGTCGTCAGTGGAGTGACGTTTCTTGAGTTTCCCTGGTGTTTTTCTTCAGTTTTAGGCGCTTTTCTCGGTCAAATTGCATCGCCAGCGAGATGGATAAGTTCCAGAAGATGCCGAAGATCGCGAAGGTGAGTGAATATTGAGTGTTCCTACTGAGAATCGCCTGCAATTCGTGTTATATTTACCATTTAACCTCCAAACGTTTGTGTTTTCCTCTGGGAAAATAATGCCCACTCCGCAGGTGAAGAACAAAGCCCCCGCAGAGGTGCAGATCACGGCGGAACAGCTGCTGCGGGAGGCGAAGGAGCGCGACCTGGAGATTCTGCCGCCGCCGCCGAAGCAGAAGATCTCAGATCCCACAGAGCTGAAGGACTATCAGCAGAGGAAGAGGAAGTTCTTCGAGGACAACCTGAGGAAGAATCGCATGGTGGTGAGCAACTGGATCAAGTATGCGCAGTGGGAGGAGAGCCAGAAGGAGATCCAGCGCGCGCGCTCAATCTGGGAGCGGGCGATCGACAATGATCACATGAACATCACCATTTGGCTGAAGTACGCCGAGATGGAGATGAAGAATCGGCAGGTGAACCATGCGAGAAATCTCTGGAATCGCGCCGTGACCATTCTGCCGCGCGTGAATCAGTTCTGGTACAAGTATCTGTACATGGAGGAGATGCTGGAGAACATCGAGGGCGCGCGGCATGTGTTCGAGCGCTGGATGGAGTGGCAGCCGGAGGAGCAGGCGTGGCTCACGTACATCAAGTTCGAGTTGCGCTATAAGGAGACGGAGAAGGCGCGCGGCGTGTTCGAGCGCTTCGTGATTGTACATCCGGAGGTGAAGAACTGGATCAAGTTTGCCGGCTTCGAGGAGAACAACGGCTTCATCACGAACGCACGCAAGGTGTTCGAGAGGGCTGTGGAGTTCTTCGGCACGGAGCACATGAACGAGAAGCTGCTGCTGGCGTTCGCGCGCTTCGAGGAGAATCGCAAGGAGCACGCGAGGGCGCGCGCGATCTACAAATACGCGCTGGACAGCCTGCCGCAGAGTGCGTGCAAGGAGATCTATCGCGCCTACACGATTCACGAGAAGAAGTTCGGTGACCGCGTGGACATAGAGAACGCCATCATCTCGAAGCGGAAGCTGCAGTACGAGCAGGAACTGAGCGAGAATCCCACCAACTACGATATCTGGTTCGACTACATCCGCCTGCTGGAGAACAACGAGGACGAGAAGGTAAAGAGAATAAGGAAAAATCACTGGCAAAGAGACGAGTGAGTTCGTGAGTGTGATTTTTTTTTATTCTATTTGCAGACAATCCGGGAGACTTACGAGAGAGCCATCGCCAACATTCCGCCCACGCAAGAGAAGAGCTTCTGGCGGCGCTACATCTATCTCTGGATCAACTACGCTCTGTACGAGGAGATGAAGGCGCACGACGAGGAGCGGACCAGAGAGATCTACACGACGTGCCTTCAGGTGATTCCGCACAAGAAGTTCACCTTCAGCAAGATGTGGATTCTCTACGCGCAGTTCGAGATCCGCTGCAAGAACCTCAAGACGGCCAGGAAGTTCCTCGGCATGGCCATCGGCATGTGTCCCAGGGACAAGATCTTCCGCCAGTACATCGAGCTGGAGATCCAGCTGCGCGACTTCGATCGGTGTCGCATGATTTATCAGAAATTCCTCGAGAACAGCCCGGAGAACTGCACGACGTGGATCAAGTTCGCCGAACTGGAGACTCTGCTAGGCGATTTTGAGCGTGTGCGCGCCATCTTCGAGCTGGCGCTCCAGCAGCCGCGACTGGACATGCCGGAGTTGCTGTGGAAGGCGTACATTGACTTTGAGATCACGCAGGGCGAGGAGGAGGCTGTGAAGACGCTGTACGAGCGTCTCCTGGAGAAAACCGTTCACTTCAAGGTGTGGATTTCGTATGCCAAGTTCCTCATCAAGATCGGTAATGATCCCGGGAACGTGAGAAAGATCTTCGACAGGGCCAACTCATCGCTCAGGAGTGCGGCTGACAATGACTCCAGAGTTCTGCTGCTGGAAGCGTGGCGGGACTTTGAGAAGGAACACGGCTCGGAAGAGTCTCAAGCGAGTATCATGGAGAAGATGCCGCGCTGCGTGAAGGTGAGGCAGAAGATCGTCTCCGAGGCGGGCCATGAGAGATGGCAGGAAGCCTTCAACTACATATTCCCCGAGGACGACAACTACCGGCCCAACAGCAAACTCCTGTCGGCGGCGAAGAGTTGGAAGAAGAACAAAGACAGCTAATAAGTACTCTTCAATTGTGTGAGGAATAAATATATTTGCGAGAGAAATAGTTTTTGTCGTTTTTGTCAGGAAAAATCTGGATTTTTATTTAAAACGAGCGCCAAAACGAAGTTTGCCCAGTTTGCGGCGAAAAAATTGCCAATGTCAGTTTGACATTTCTCGGACGGCGAAAAATATCCCAAAACATTGATGGCGGTGTTGTGTGTTTACATCTGTGGAAAAACGTTTTTATAGTACTTTCAACGAGTTTAAGCAGTACTTACCATTGCAAAATGACTCAAATCGACTCTTTAAATATCGAGTTAGATGTTGTGAGTATAGATTGCTGCGAAACTTGTAGTTTTATTGGTATTTCAGTGAGTTTTCATACATAACCTTCTACCTGTTGGCTTTCAGGACGAGGAAGACGTTCCTTTCGAGGAGGAAATCCTGCGGAATGCGTACTCCGTGAAGCACTGGCTGCGGTACATCGATCACAAGAAGAAAGCGCCCCAATATGGGGTGAATATTGTGTACGAGAGAGCGCTGAAGGAGTTGCCGGGATCGTACAAGATCTGGTACAACTATCTGAAGACGCGCCGGAAGCAGATGAAGGGAAAGTGCATCACGGACCTTATGTTCGAGGAGGTGAACAATGCCTTCGAGCGATCTCTCGTGTTTATGCACAAAATGCCGAGAATCTGGATGGATTACTGCTCTTTCATGACGATGCAGTGCAAAATCACGCGCACGAGACAAATCTTCGACAGAGCTCTGCGGGCGCTGCCCATAACGCAACACCACCGCATCTGGCCGCTGTATCTGGACTTCCTGCAGAGCTTCCACATTCCCGAGACGGCGCTTCGGGTGTACAGGCGCTATCTGAAGCTGTTCCCGGAAAATGCCGAGGAGTACATTGAGTATCTCACGAGTGTGGACAGACTGGACGAGGCGGCGCAGCAATTGGCGAGTGTGGTGGATCAGGAGCACTTCGTGTCGAAGCACGGCAAGTCCAATCATCAGCTGTGGAATGAACTGTGCGAGCTCATAAGCAAGAATCCGGACAAGGTGCATTCGCTGAATGTGGACGCCATCATTCGGGGCGGCTTGAGACGGTACACCGATCAGCTGGGGCATCTGTGGAACTCCCTGGCGGACTACTACGTGCGCAGTGGGTTGTTCGAGCGCGCCAGGGACATCTACGAGGAGGCCATCCAGACTGTGACCACTGTGAGGGACTTCTCTCAAGTCTTCGACGCCTACGCGCAGTTCGAGGAGCTCAATCTCAAGAAGTGGATGGACAAGGTGTCCGGAAGCTCAACTGGCGACGAGGACACGGATGTCAACATCGAGATTCGCTTCGCACGCTTTGAGTACCTCATGGAGAGGCGTCTGCTGCTGCTGAACAGCGTCCTGCTGCGCCAGAATCCGCACAACGTGCCCGAGTGGCACAAGCGCGTGAAGCTGTTCGAGGGGAAGCCCGCGGAGATCATCAAGACGTTCACGGAGGCCGTGCAGACGGTCCAGCCACGACTCGCCGTGGGCAAAATCCACACGCTCTGGGTGGAGTTTGCCAAGTTCTACGAGGCCAACGGACAGCTGCAGGACGCGCGCGTGGTGATGGAGAAGGCCACGCAGGTGGACTACGTGAAGGTGGACGATCTGGCGTCGGTGTGGTGCGAATGGGCGGAGATGGAGATCCGCCAGGAGAACTTCAGCGATGCCCTGGGCATCATGCATCGCGCCACGGCGATGCCGAAGAAGAGGGCGGCGTATTACGATGAGAAGGAGCCCGTGCAGATGCGTGTGTACAAATCCCTGAAAGTCTGGTCGATGTACGCCGACCTGGAGGAGTCCTTCGGCACGTACAAGTCCTGCAAGGCGGTGTACGACAGGATCATCGATCTGCGCATCTGCACACCGCAAATCATCATCAACTTCGGCATGTTCCTGGAGGAGCACAACTACTTCGAAGAGGCCTTCAGGGCGTATGAGAAAGGTAAGAAGCGGATTGAGGTTGATCACTCAATTAGACTCTTTTCGCAGTTCAATTAATCACGATGCTTGACTTTCTCTCTTCTCTGCCTTTGCAGGAATTGCTCTGTTCAAGTGGCCGTACGTGTATGACATCTGGAACACGTACTTGACCAAGTTCCTGCAGCGCTACGACGGGAGCAAGCTGGAGCGCGCGCGGGATTTGTTCGAGCAATGCCTGGAGTTCTGTCCGCCGGAGTATGCCAAGTGCTTCTATCTGCTGTACGCGAAGCTGGAGGAGGAGCACGGCCTGGCCAGGAATGCCATGGCGGTGTATGAGCGCGGCACGGGCGGCGTGGAGGCCGGCGAGCAGGCGGCGATGTTCAACATCTACATCAAGAAGGCGGCGGAGATCTACGGGCTGCCCAGGACGAGGCAGATCTACGAGAAGGCCATCGAGATGCTGCCGGAGGAGAGTGCGCGCGAGATGTGCATGCGATTCGCGGAGATGGAGACGAAGCTGGGCGAGGTGGACAGGGCGCGCGCCATCTACGCCCACTGCAGCCAGATGTGCGATCCCAGGGTCACGGTGGACTTCTGGGGCGCGTGGAAGGAGTTCGAGGTGCGCCATGGGAATGAGGACACGATGCGGGAGATGCTGCGCATCCGGCGATCCGTGCAGGCCACGTACAACACGCAGGTGAACATGATGGCCGCGCAGATGACGAGCTCGAGTGTGGCGGGCGGCACGGTGGCGGACCTGGCGCCGGGCGCGAAGGATGGGATGCGCATGCTGGAGGCGAAGGCCATTGAGATGAATGCTGAGGGGGCGAAAAGCAACGGAATGCAGCCACCTGTCGCCAGCAATATCATGTTCGTGCGCGGGGAGACGCAAGGGTTGCCCGGGCAGGGCGAGAAGGTGGTCAATCCGGATGAGATAGACATTGGGGAGGAGAGCGAGGGGGAGGAGGAGGAGGACGAGGAGGAGGAGGCGAATATTCCCATTCAGCAGAAATCCATTCCGGCCAAAGTGTTCGGCGGACTGCGGAAGGACGACGAGGAGGAGGACAATTGATTGCACACGGAGTGAATTCAATAAAAATGATTTTCTAGAAGGTTTAACATTGCCAATTGATGACTGCTTTTCTCTCTCCTTTCATCTCGCCACTCGATTGTCAATTCAAGATAATAATTAATTCAATTCATGTGGATTTTCCTCAAGCAATTATTTACTTTTTAGCATTGTGTGCAATATTTGAAAATGAAGTGAGCTTTTGTGAAGATAAAGTGAGTAGAAATTCATTGAAACGATTGAAATTGATCCCAATTGTTGGCGTTCTGGAGGATTTCTTGTGGAAAAGTTTTTCTACTTTAGCATCAATTGAATTTCACTGCATAATATGCTTCTCTAGCCAATTATTTACATATATAAGAGAAGAAAATAGCTCGTAAGAGCTGAGCTTGAGAGCTTTGAGAAGAAAGAGAGAAGCACAAGAGCTGCCGCTGTAAACAAATCATAAATTAAGCGGTGAGATTTATGCAAATTGCTTTGACAACCTGAGCAATTCTTGCGGAGCACAAAAGGTTCAACCATTTGAGATTAGTGTCGACGCAACATGCAAACACCAACTGTGGCCAACCTTGACACACTGATCTTGACTCTCGCGCCGAATTGACACAATGAACTTCATGAAGTGGATTACCGTCAATTTTCGGACTTACTTCCTTTTTCAATTTCCAAATTAGTCTAATGGAACACGCGCAGAATTCCATTCGTCGCCATGGCGCAACAATGGAACTGCGAAAGAGTGGTTTGGAGTGAAGATAAGGAATGCGGAGATCCTGGGCGAGAGATTCACTCTGACAATGTGAGTTTGCTTGACCCAAAAAATGCGCATCGCCTCACCGAGTGAGATGATCTAATTGGAAAAGCGTGATTTGGGTAAACACACTGAGAGTCTTCAGGGGTTTTTTCATTCATTTTCCTCTCTTGTTGCGCGCAAGTGATCTTAAAACAAATATTAATAATTTCATTCTTACGCAATCAAGTGCAATTTACAATTGTACTTGTTAAACTGGACAGAATAAATTCTATGATTGCGGATTGAGAACGTCGGATATTTATTATTTCCGGCTCATTTGCTCTCCACTGGCCGCTCATCATACCAATTTATAGAGTCAGATCACTTGATGATGATCTTTCTCTCTGCCATTCGGCCAATCCGCTGCTCTATTGCACGCTCCGACATTGTGTTGAACAGCCAGAAAGATACACTTTTGGCGACCTCTATTTGCCTTTCTAATGAGGCCATTCCCTTTGAACAGTGAACAACTTCCCCAGAAAAATTCCACAGGCCAGAAAATGTCCCCCAATAGATCATCTTTTCCCCCTTTTTTCTCTTTTCTCTTTGCACAAAGCGAGAAACACACGCAGTTTTCATGTATGCATAATTATCCAACAAATCATTAGCATGCTCATGAGGCCAAGAATGATTTATGATTCCAAGTGATCCTGATTATAATCTGCGTCTAAAGTGAAGATGTGCCTCGAATGCTAGAGAATTCTCGCATGATTGCGCCCCAGTTTCGCATTGGCGCGCAGAACTTTATAATGAACTTTGCACATCATATATGAGAATTTGCACGCCAAATTCCTCCCCCACGCAAACCATGTGCTCTTCTGGCCCATTTTGCCGACGATGGCAGACTCTCGTGTCCTAGACCTACATCATTTAATAGAACTTCCTGCCTCGCAATTCATCACTTTCTCGTCGCAGCGGCATTTCTGCACGGAGGAAAGCACACAATGCGCGAGAGAGAGATGAGATTTTCATTCCATGCTGGAAAATGACCTCATTCTCCACTCTTTTATATCCAGCATTATATGATTAAACCTCCTGTTCTGCTTGCTGTTCTGGTGGAAGGAATGAGAGAAGAAAGTCGTGAAAGGAAAAGTATACTTTCTCAATTTGCTCTGCTGTTACATTTCAGAAAGTTAATTTACATCATATTGACGCATATATTCTAATAAAGCTTATGGAAATAAATTACTCAATATCTGATAAACAATAGCTAATATCTTTACGATAAATACTTAATTGCAAAACGCTTTAGGGGAATGTGTGTAGGGTAGTGGTGCACTTTGTGGACAGTTTACACTTTTAACTGAAAGATAGATTTTTTCTTTAATTCAGACTTTATCACTTTACTAATAATCTGAGCGAAATCGGTAAAAATCTGTAAATCACTTCCTGACACTTCCACTATTCGTCTGCAGAATCTTCAACACATTTCGGAACGCATTAAAAAGGCATTTTCAATTACTTGAATTGTCTCACTAATTTAATGGAATAAGTAGCGCTATCGTAACCATAAGAGGCGTCAGTGCCCTAAATTGAGTATTCAATTAAAGTGGCAATTAAGAGAGGCAAATTAAGCAGGTAAATTCGGTTCGATAGAGCACTCAAGTGATTAATAGTCCGGCATTTCGCGTCAATCAGAGCCGAAACATGGCCGGAAGAGCATTCTAATTCGGCCAACGATGGAACTCTTTCACGCCAGTTCGCAATTCAATTTTCATTGCGGAGCGACTTCTCGGAAAAGTCTCATGATAATTTCATAGACATATCGATTGAGTGTGGCGTCTCGTGGTCGCTTCAGTCCATATCCTCATAAGTTCATCTCCACTCCGTTCCCATATTGGACATCGCGATAAAGTACACACATCTTTTTCTCCAGCAACATTCTCAGTGGCATTCTTCGCCAACATGCTCATTGAGATATCTAATCTGGTGCGAGACTTGATGAAATAATTCCATCAACTTGAGGAATTATTCTGTCTCTGCGGCGTGACAAGACCGCAGAGCTTCTCTATCAAAGTGTTCGAATAAAATTTATGCTTGTTTTGCGCGCATTGAATGCCGCGGCAGATTGACATAAAGGACACGACCATCGCGCGCGCGAGGATTATCACGATGACTTGCGTGCATATTTCAATCATTTTCCTCTGATTTATGCAAATTCCCTTCAGCGCCATTTGCATATTTCATAGCTTTAGAGAGCAAACTTTTTCCGACGCATCGCGAGATTATTATGCAAAAACATGCATTTCACCACTGCACATTATCTGCATCGATGCGGGGCGCTCAAAGTTTGTCACCTCGTTGGCGCAGGACAACATAATCTCACACTCTTTGCAAATATTATCACAGAGTTTTTAATAAAGTCTCCATCTCTCGACAAAGTGACACCGCAGAGTTATTAAATTGCGCTCTCGATGTTGTAAAATCTACAGATTATGAGCTGACTCACGTTCGGGGTTTTGTTTACATTGTGGAAAATGGTCGATGATTCAATTGCGTGGCTGGTGGAAAAAAGTCAGTTGAGAGGTCAGATGCTATCGGGAGAAATGAGTCAAATTGTTATTAAAAAAGTTTAGAGGTTGCAGAGTTCACGAGTGATATGTTTTCTCTGTCTCGGTGTTTTTTTTTCGCTTCACATCAGAGATTTATTAACGGCGAATTACTTCATGCGTAAAAGAGACGGTTTGAAAGTACTTTGAAAATGGACAAAATTGTCTCTCGAAAACATGTGATATTTTCTAGTCTAGTAAGCAAATTACAGGGTTAAAAATTTGTAGAAGATAGTCGGTTTTTATTGTTCTCTATCGCTTTCCTTTGGGAACACAGGGAAACATGTAGAAAAGTTCACAGTTTTTTTACGCTCAAACTCTTTATTGAACACATGAACAAACAATATTAGATATTTTACACAGTGTGCAGTATTCATGCTCAGAAAGTGCATAAAAATTGTAACAAGGATGAAAGAAAGGGAAAAACATGGAAATTTTGATTTTACGCCAGCGTAATTATGATGGCACAGTAGGAAATTGCCATTTTAACAATCTGCAAGTGTTAGAGGAAATTCTTATTAATTTTCTCCACTTGTCAGCAACACTTCTGCTCACCTGAATAAACGTGTACATATTGATGTCAAACATTCCGCCAGCCTTGAGTCCGTACGGCGCCTCGGACATTCGCATCATCATGAGGATGGCTTTCTGATTGCTCAGGCTCATGTCGTACCACTTCGTGAGATAGAGTTGTGTGAAAATCACCTGAGTTTTCGAGAAAATCACTTCCCCGAAGGCGCACAGGAGGAAGAGTTGGGAAATCACGCAGAGCTGAAAGAGATAAAACACCATTTCCATGGGCTGCGTGCGTGCGGACGTGAACAAAACCAGGAACATGAAGGTGCTCGTGAAGAGTTGAATCAGAGATATGAGATACATGATCTCATTGAGAGTGGAGAGCATCTTTATGATCTCCGAGTGCTTCTTGTAGATCACGATGAGGATATTCGGACACTGATTCGCCTTGTCTTTGTCATCCAACAGTCTAATCAGATCATTGATAGTGTCAACGGCTTTCATGATGTGAATTCCTGTAGGGGAAATCCAGTGATGAACCACGATTTTCCCACCTTTGACTGCGCATCTAACCTGCAATTATTGTTGTAGAATCTCCAACTCCGCTCAAGATTCCTGCCAAGAGTGTGTAAGGAAATTCGACTGAGTAGTAAATCAGTTTCGCGCTTGGATGATCGTAGGATATGAAGGGAATAATGATGACTGCATGCAATCCTTGTCGCAATATGACAGTCGCCATGTAGCCCAGCGGAGCCATTCCGAACACTCCAATGTACATCCTGAAAACAGAAAAGCCTTCAAGCCTCACTGAAGTTGGCAAAAGCGCGGTTTTTTCTCACAAAATAATCATTCTAGATTGCTTGAAGGCTGCATGAAGATTTCTTTCGACTATTTCTCTCATCAAACCTTGCACTTTGACTTCAGTGTACTGACTCTTCATCCACGCGATGAGCTTCATGTAGTGCTCGTGCAAGTAGGTCGAAATGTAGGATTTTATCAGCATCTGGACAATTCCAACGGCCGTCATGAAGTACAAAAGTGTGAGGAAAACCTCACCTTTGCTCCAATCCATGCTCAACTCCGTGAATCCAAAGTAAACAGTCGAAATGAACCACAAATGCAGATACACAGCCATGCTTATCACTACGAATTTAATCAATTTGCTCTCCGAATAAATTGCGTACGTCATCCAAGTCACGCAAAAGTTGAGGATGAATCTTAGACTCTTATATTTCCTCTCCAAGCTTGTCATTTCTGCACTTGAGTATCCGAAAACTGCCCTAGAAATGCCCTTATTAAGCCAAGAAAGCTCTTTTATTTAGCTGATAGTGAAGGTTAAATTCTTTTTTGAATTATTCAGTCAAATTTCCACACAATTGAGTGAAGAAATGTTAATTTGTGTTCAATTATAGGAGTGATGAAGATCCAGAAAACTGCTTCAATCTCTTGAGTGATAAGTGGAGTTTAAATAGTAATAAAGAATATAGTCAGATGAATAGAAAGGTATCTTTAATTACCTCCTTAATAGCTCTCAATGACACGCGACGAGGTGTTGATTGGTAATCATTGTTTATTTAATAGAAAGTTGATAAAAGATTTAAAGTGTTGGTATTTAAAATGCTGCTTTAAGAAACTGAAAACACCAATTAAATAGAAGATGATTATGTCCAGACCAATCTAGATTAGAAGTTCGACGAAAGAAGACGTGTTGAAAAAATTGTTAAAGAGATTCTTGACTATCATTAACGATGCCACAAGACAGGGATTCGTCTAATGTCCTGCATAAAATGATGTAAGTGAATTTTATGCAGTCCTTCAATTGTCATTCATCGCCCAGAATATGATTTGTTGCTCCAAAAAAGCCACCAATTTGTCCATCTGCATTCTGAGTGTCTCTCTTGGCACTTAATTAAAATATTGCGATAGGGCGACGAGCTGGAAATGTTTTATATCACAAGTGACAAAAATATCGTTCGCACTTCATCAGACACAGACGAGCCATTGTGCCAACAAATTGACCTTAATATGGGCGGGAATGTGGGGAAAGATGACGGAAAATCTCTGTTGGTGTATCCAAGAAGGAGAGAGATAAGGAGGCCACGATTGAGACAACTGATGGCATGTTTTATAATTTATCTCTTTTAATATATTTCTGCATCTTGGGTTTTTCATCTTGACATTGAAATATATTTACAATTATCATATTATTTGTTACAAAATCATTATAAAGTGGAAAGAATTTCTGTATTTTTTCTGTTTTCAAAAACAACAAAAAAAGAAAAGGAGAAATGTGTTGTGAGGAAATTTTACACCCTTTTTTTCTACACACACTACACTTTATGCTGTTGAAAGAATTTACTTATTCAATTATGATTTTGAGGAGGGTAAAAGTAGGGCTTGAAAAATTCCTTATAAAAATAAATTTCTCCTTTTTTCTCATCCACTAAAATCTCTCTTACAAATATCCTCTTCTTCATCTGTCTTCACATTATCCGAAATTAAGATCATTCACATATCGAATCAATGAATAGCAAATTTAAGAGTCATAATATTGTTGCATTCAATATTTACATGATTCCTATAGCAATATTAACTTTGCAGAATATTTACAAACAATTTCTTCACTTGAGACGCACAAGACTTTATGATCCATCGTTGCAAGCACATTTAATTCTCCCGCCACTACAATTCCCGCATTTATTTTGCATATTCACTTAATTACTTCTTTCTCCAAAGGCAATTCTTCACATCGCTCACACTGCTGAGTACATATTTTCCATCGTTCTGAAAGCAAATGTATGTTCCACGCTATCCATATTGAATATGCATATATGACTTTTGGTGTCTTTATAGGTTTTCAGGCTGTATAACACTGTGTGTACAAAATATAGTGGCATTATTAATTATTACAATACAAGTGAGTATAAGACGGTTATTGATTTAGAACGGAAACCGATCTATTTTTGCTCTCAAAGAAACATTATTCACTAAGATATGCTGCCATTTGATAACACAATTTGCAGCCCCTCCGGATTCATTTTGGATGTTTCTTTTATGCCCTCTGCTATTATGTCTAATCTACTAAGAAGCTCTTAAAATGTCAATGTTCATCGCAAAAGAAGTAAGTATTAAGCTCTTGCCAAATTCAATCATTTTGCGACACAATTGAAAGTGAAATTTAATGCTCTTTGATTTATCTTCTTGCCCTCATGATTAAAAATTTGCCATTCTGTGACACACTTTCTATAAATATAATTTCCTCTGATTCCCTCTTTTTTTCTTCTTTACTTCTTCATCTACGGAAAAATTTGTAAAAGTGATGTTCTTCTACAAGCACAGCTCTCGGTTTCTCACAATGTTTCTTTCTTTCTCAAATACTTTTGTTGTTGTCACTACATTTTTGCTCTACTTTGTACTAGTTTGTCCAGAAGTTTTTCATCATCTCACAATTGCATCCAATAAAATCCTTCTCTCTCTCTCTCCATCTCGCTCTTCTGTCACTGTCGACTAACAAAAATATCTCTTGGACTTTTATCTCTACACCCATTTTATCTAAGGGTAGTCATTAAATTTGATTTGCATTCATTTTCGATGACTTACACTAAATGGAAATTAAATGTTTGGAAAAATTAAATCCTACAATTTAAATTACTTTTATTATCAAATTCAGAGACTCCACGGAATGTCTTTCGGCGCATTTTTCAATGAATAAATTTAAATACTAAATCGCGTTGATGGGCGAAAAATGTGTGAGATGAGCGTGAGGTTTTTTTTGGGAGGAAAAGAAACTGACTTCCTCTCGGCGGTGCGAGAGAAAGTTGCTGAGATAACGTGAAGAAATGCTGTCATGTTGGATAACACACACACAAGGCGATATTCTAAGGGGGTCTTCATTATTTGTCTGTAAATTAATATAGCAAGAATAATAGATGGGCTCGACCCTCCTAATTGTTTTCTTTGCTCCACAGTTTGTCTTGAGAAACCCCAATAATATGGAATGCTTACGACAGAGGCTAATAAATACACTCTATATTCCCATGTTAATTTATCAATTTCTCCACTTCATTGCATTAATTTCCGAAAATTTTCTCACCAAAGCGCCGATTTTTTTCTTCCAATTTCAAAATGCACATTAATCAAACTCCAAACAGGCTCATTTGATCAGGCTGTTTAATTCAAATAAATAATTTGTCAGTTATTTATATTCTTTTTGTACCAAAGAAATTTATGAGAGAATTGCGGCAAATTCCCCCTTTAAAAATTCATCAATATACATATTTTACAATCACTATACATACTAATTCTATTTATCCTTATACGCCTAACTATGAATGCTTCAATGGTATAGTATTTGCAAACGTACGCAGAGATTCATTTTGGTTTTATTCTTAATATTTAGGTACCATGCACAAGATTATAATGCACAAAATCAATGAATCGCGCTCCTTAACTTTCTAAGTTGATAAAATAAGAAGCAATTTAGAAAATCAAATATAATAATGATACAATTGGGAAATTCAGACCAATATTTCTCGATGTATTCATATTGTGGAATTAGGGAAAGCGCCAAATTGGAAAAGGGGGTCGGTAAAATTCGATAATCCTAACGTAAAAGGCTGAGTAGAGTTTTGTGTGTGTTTGAGAGTAATTTAGCTGCGCATCGGCTTGAGGATTAATCGTCAGAGAGTGTTAGAGCCACAATCAGCAGTGGCAGGAGTACAATCACAGTCGCTTCGGAATCTACCTGGCTTGTGCTTGAGGTGCTCTGTCGTCCTCGCGTGCTGTCCTCGATCTTGCTCATCTGCAGCACTTCGCTCTGAGCGTCGCGACTCTCGTCCGCGGCGGCGATCTCGTTATCCAGCTCATCGGCGCCGAGCCGCGGCACGATCTTGGCGGATGTTGTCGTGGCTTCTGGCGTGGTCGTGGTGGTTGTGGAGGGCGTAGTGGTGGTGGTAGTTGTGGTCGTCGTAGTTGTGGGGACGAGAGTTTGATTGTGGATCCAGTAAACAGGACTAAATTCGACCTTAACATCCTGCATCTCAGCCTTTTGCAGCTGCAAGGTAAGAAAATAGGCGGTATAAATAAAAAAAAACTGCCTTTTCTTCAACGTCAAAATTCGCCCCATTCTCCCCTATCATTTTTACTGTTTTTTTTTCCCATAAAAAACACATAGCATTTCTTTCAAGTGTCTCTTTGGTGCAACAACAACCCCTTTGGATATTGTGAGAAATTGCGAGGGCGACGAAAGGCAGTCTGGCGCATACATTGAATCCTCCTCTTCTAATTTATATTCACATCAGCGAAACAGCATAAGAATGCTTCTGCACACTCTCGGAAGTGCATGCATGGGAAGGAGCAGGAAATATTCATGAGCACTTACCACTGCCCTAATTGTTCGAGACACTGCATTGTCGTTATCTGCATAATACGCCACGAGGGTGGCTGTGTAGGGCCCCTCGATTTTCGTGTAATTTCCCCGCACTGTCACGTTCAGGGCTGTTCCGGGCATTAAAATCGTGCTCACTGTTTTCGTCTGCAAGACAAGCCGCAGTGTGTGATTAGGGCGGGTCAATAAATAAGGGATGAGCTATAAATTCTTCCCACCTCGATTACTTTCTCGGTGACTTTCAGGCCCCAGTTAATCTCGCTGGGGAACTTTCCGGTCTCGTAGACCGACGTCTCCAGTCCTCTGGCCACGCCGTCGTGTGTGCCCCAGTACTCCACGCGATCATAGTCGTACGTGATGACTGTCTCCACGAGGTTCGACATGGCCTCCAGGTTGGCCAGGACAGTTGAGGCGAGCTCCGTGGTGTTCCTCTTCACCTGCTTCCGCCACTTGTCCATCTTGATCTGGCGCAGCTCGTAGCGCACCGGTTCCGTCTCCACGAGGATCTCACCGTCACTGTACTCCACCTCGTGATCCCCTTGAGCCACAAACACCTTCCCGAGGCGCTCCTTCGGATCGAAACGGCCCAGATCGAAGTCAGGACCCATGATCACATGATGATGCTCATGTCCATCTCCCGCCTCCATGTGGGCTTTCGATCGATGGCGAGCCACGTACGGATCCTCAGTCTGAAACACGCATGCAAATAAGATGTAAAGAAGCCCAATGGGATACCATTTCTTCCGACCGCACGCTCAAAATCGCAAGACTTCCCATTCCCAGCCACTGAGGAAGTGTCCAATTGAGGCCATAAATTCGATAACTCATCGCGATGCTGCGTTGAATCACGCTCCAATGAGTTCTCCCCGAGGCCTGACTCACAAATCTCGCGATTCATCTCGCGCTGCGGCGTTTTAGGCAATAAATATAAACCACAAGAGACTTACGTGTCCGCCGGTGGCACTGACAGCTCCCGGAGGCGTTCCGCTGCTGTACTTGCTCCACGGCCGCCACGTGAGCTTTCCGCCGTGGCCCTTGTTCACGAGGATGTCGAAGGCGTGGTGTGTCTTCACGGTCGTGGCCTGAGACACCGTGCACACGATTCTGTCCTGGTGCTTGATTGTGTGTCCGCTGGTGTACAGGCCGTCGATGAGCGCGCGACAGACGTAGATGGGATACGACTCGTCCTCTCGCACGTACGTGCCGCCCTTCACGGCGAACTCAATCTGTCGCGCATCGCCCGTGAAGGACTCCCACACCAGCGTGCTGGACGTCACGAGTTGACTCACATGGCCGCTGATGAACTTGAATGTCAGCACGCTCTTGGTCGTGGCGAGGGTGGGCAACATAAGGGTGGCAATCACCACTCCCAGTATCCACACTGCGCACATGAGCCCTCTCATCCTTTATGAAGAGCCTGAAGAGCTCTGGAAAGAGAAACAGGATATTCATTAGCGAACACTTACCCTTTATTCTGTCCCTAAACAAATCCCTTGACGCACTTTCGAGTTGAACATTTTATGATGAATCGAAATGTAACAGAGACGATTGGAAACTAATCCAGAGACAAGAATTGTCATAAAATCTGAGATTTGGGGACGCATTTGTGCAAAGATGTGATCTTGAAGGTTTTATTGAAGCCGTCAATAAAACCTCAGAGGTTTCAGAGGCTGGAAACTGCAAAGTCTGATTGTACTAAATTATCTCTTGTGAGAGCAAAAACTGCGTGAAAATATTGAAATCACATTGAGATGTTGAAATTCACTGGCAACACTCAATCTTCATACTAATGAGTAAGCTTCCACGCAGTGTCCGTGCAATTGAGAGGTTTGGAGATCCCACTTTGGCAAGAGTGCGTGCTTGGGGCAGGTCCTGAGACACGCCCTGCTCTCGTCACGTCATTATTCAGCTCAAATTGGCTCATATTATCGTTAGTTTCTCGGATGTCAGCCCAAAAGCGAGTGGATCCCAGCGTGAATCATTGCCAGTGTCGATTTGGGCGGCATCCTGAGGTGTCCATCGAGAGGCTTTAGTGTACATTATAATCTGTCCAAACTCTTTCCTGCCAGCTTAATCGGTTGATTAATTATTCAAGAGGGTCTCTAATGGCTGCCATGGTTGATCCGAGACATTTTAATGGAATATTTTTGGGTTGGGTGGCCTAAAAGAAGTAATTCGGGGATAGTTTCAGTCAAGCGCCTCAAGACAGACACAAGATGCTCAATTCGAGGGAAATTGACTCAAGTCGAGGTCAGCGGATTCGATGATTGTTTCAGCAAGAATATTTGCAGAATCATCTAAAATAATATTATTCTCCCATTTCCTTCTAATTGACGAGATGCTAACTCGAGAAGTGTCGAGAGTCTTTGGCGCAATGTGACTTACATAATTCTCCAAATAGGAGAGTCTATTGAAAACATACTTCATTTCTATCATAAATGCTTCTCCGCTCATATTATTCACGCTCTTAATTATACGTGTGCGATTTGCTGCAATGAAAATATGCGTGAAGTAATCAATGTTAAGTGATTCAACAAGATGATTAAAGCTCAAACATGCCGATAAACTCGCTTTAAATTCAATTTGTCTCACTGCAATCGAGTTTAGCATTGGCAAAGTGTCTCTTATGCGGAATTATTGTCCCGATATTTCTGCAATTGTTATGATTCACGCGCTGCTTTGTTGCGGAATATGTCTTGGACGAGAGCCATCTGGAAGTTGCAACACTTCATTAATCACATCCGAGACTAAATTGACTTTTCAGGCATGAAAAAATTTCATAATTCCTCCCATGGAACACCTTCTCTCTCTCACTCTCCCATGAAAGTGGCACAATGTCGTGTTGGTCAGGAAGTAAAGATTTTTTTTTCTTAAGAACATTTAACCGCGACGAGGAATTTGAAAATGAAGAACATGCACGTAATCTGGCCGAAAGTCACACACAATAAGGAAATTTATAACTCATTCATTCTATGTAAGCTCATTAACAAGTGACGATTCTCTCTTTTTCATATGCTTTTAATTGCGATCTGCATATTATTATTCAATTCATGCAATGATGTAAAAAAAAGAGACAAGAACCTCAGCCATGAAGACTTAACGTGATTATCTTGTCAGTTTGTCATTAAAGAGCCATTTATCACGGGATATTTTCTTTTCACTCCGTTCTTAAAAAGCGAGAGGAGCTGTTGATCCTCACTTGCATATGAATGCAATCCAGAAGCTCAAGATGAATTTATGTAATAATAATGAGGAAGTATTGTAGTTTATGTGTCCAAACTGGTTGTAGGATAATTGGTGTCAATTTAAAAATTAAACCCATTTCATAACATCCAGCGCCACTTCCGGATGCTCATGATCGTCTGCAGATCACTTTCCATTCTTCCCCATGGAGAAAAGCGCACGAAGAGCAAGAGAGAAGTTAAACTAGTTGATACAAGATCACATGCGACGCAATTTAAATGCGACACTTCAGGTGAAGTGCAAAAGTTTTGATACAATCTTGCTGCGACTTCTTGGCAAAGTCTTATATAACATGAAACGTTTGATTTCTTGAACTCTCTTATCCGAACTCTACTTAACTTTTGCGCTCACTCGTAATCAATTTGTGAGGCTTCATCATTGCTGAGCTTGCTGAGTGATGAATTGAGCCACGAGCGCTGCAGCTTTACATAACTTTTCCCGCGTGACTGGCATCAAAGGTGTGTTTGTGTTAATGATTTCAATTTCCAGAAGGCAGTAGCAGAGCGTCTTCCAGAATTCGCATCACCTCCATAATGCTCAAAGAGCATCCATTCTTGAATAGTCATAAGAATTGTGAGTGTATGATTTTTTTCTCTCTCCTCTGACTTCGTGCATTGTTTAAACCGGTTCTCATGGAGGTGTTTCATTTTCCTCTATCCCTCTTCCACCACGTCTTCGCCATGGCCGGAGTACATTCTCGCCACCAGAGATCTCAATTTTAAACGCTAGTGAGTACCTAATTCCACCCATTCTTATTGTCTGGAGAGTTGAACTCAGGGCAGAACATGCGAGCGGAGGAACGAAGCCGCGAGCATAGATACAGTTAGATCTTTACAGTCTGCCTTTTTTTCCAAGCAGCCGCGCAGCATTTTACAACACATATGAAATATGCTGGAGAACGATGACCTAAACTCGATGGCATCACCGCATTTCACCATTCTGTCACCGGCAGTTGAGGGCACTTGGGGAATCGATCAAACAAGCTGCGTGGAAATTACCGAGTAAAACAAACAGACGCGTCAATATTTGGACATCACTCTTCGTCCAGATGTCATCTGCAAAAAAGGTGATTTCGCCACACACACAATCGGAAACGGACGCGCATGCAAATTGCGTCTGGTGTGACCAACTAGAACAATCCTCTGACTCCTCATTTCCGCTGATGACTTGGGAAAGAAACACAGTCGGAATACAGCGACGATATTTTAAGTAAGGACAGTTCAAGAGGCAGATATTATGGTTGGAAGTGGTGAACAGCTTTAAAGTACGTATTAGTAATTGAAAGTGATGAAATATTTAGAATATTTGCATTGCAAAAGTTTCTGTTTGAACAAATTGCGGCATTTTATAAGTCAGTTTGATTAGAAATGTCAATTTTACTGCTTTTCTAGGTTATGTGATTGATTTGAAAAGAATTTGTGGCGTTCAAAAAACCCTCAAAATCATCAAATTTGTGTTTAAGTTTGACACAGTTGAGCATTTGTGCTGTAAAAACTTCAAATTGATTTAATTTCGGAAGTCAAAAACAGCTTTAAGGTCAAACATAACCTTAAAAATATTGTTTTATTGCAGAAAATGTCTTTTTGCTTAATTATTTCCATGGTTTGTATTTTATTATTCAGTAGAAATTCTCTTTTCAGGTTTAAAAAGGATTTGAATTAGTCCAAAGAGGTTCAAAAACAATGCGCTGATCTCAGTAGCAAGAATTCAACTCAAGTGTCTTATTTAAAATGTCGTCACTGTAGCTATTATAAATTTATTGGACTTTCCAGGAAGAAGACATCATTTACAGTTTGTATTTTTTCTTCTTCCCTAGCGCCAAAAAGTGCTTTGTTTACACTTTTCGGTTCTCTGAACTCATGACGCTTCTGCAGATCAAAATTGCCACTCTTCGGCAACGAGGCAAAAATTCAATTAATATCCGAGTTTATGGGATTATTTGCATATTATACTGAGAGTCACAGTTACAGTTTTAAATATTTCAATTATTCATGCCAACTCTTTGCGCATTCAACAGTTTGCCGATGGATGGGATTTCGTGATAAAGTCAATTGCAATTTGAAATGGGAAAATCTTAAGGGAATTACAAGATGTGAAACAAGAAATGGGAGGAAAGACTGCTCTTGACTTGGCCAATTGGCTAATGAATGGGCAAGAGCATCAAGATAAAGGCGCTCTTTGAGCATTTCTCACACCAAACTTAAGAACATGGCAGATGAGAGATAAGATAAATGCGCGACACTCTTCATGCTATTAAATTCTTCAAATGCAGTGGGAAGAATTTAAACTGGAACTGATTTTTAACTCGCTTTCGAATCTGTTTAAATAAGAATGTCGAATAAATTAACCCATTACGAGCAAAAGTGTTTTTTTTTTCCTGAGAAAATCAACACATTTTGAGTGTGAGCTTCACCCAATTTTCAATAATGTCTGTATTGAATTACAAGAAAAGTATCGAATTTCCCAGTATTTTGTCCAAATTAGCTATTGAATTTCACACAATTTAAGCGCCAATTCCACTGGTGAGTGAAAACTTCAATGGTGCTTCTCGCAATTTTCTAATTATCACTTCTTCATGATCTCCACACATTTGCTGTTCCTCAAGTCAATTCGAGAGACAATAAAACAATTCATTTTAATTGACATCTAATTGAAAGTCCGCCGCGTTGTGGGAGAAAATGAGCCATGAGGCGATGTTATTCAAATTTTGGCCAAGTAATGAGGCCATCGCGAGAAATAATTCCACTCTTGTTCTCTATCGAACAGCTGGCGGCTTTTCTCGTTTCTCAGCGAATCCAGTTCTTTTTTTTCTCTCTCACTCTCCTACTTCTCCGCTCTTTCGGCATGTCTTCCTAATCTATAAAATATTGAGATTTTAATTATTGTTTGGTGTCCGCGCGCGCAATGTACAAAAACCCCATCGAAGCCCACCAACAAATCGACCTTGATTGCTGTTTTAGAATTTTTCCTACACGCAGAGAGCTTCGCGGTGCTTTTTTGGAGGGTTCGCGCGAGAATGAGCAAAAGTTTTATAATGAGAAGAACCTAATTATAGATTGTGTCTTGGATATTGCGAAGGTCGCGATTATACAACACCATTGTCGACACTTTTCTTCCTCCTTTTTCCATCTCGTGCGCGCGCGATGTCGAGAAACCCATTTTGGCGTATCTCTCTCTCTCAGTCGAAAAGTCTCGACCACCTGCAGAAAGTGTGACATTTACATACAATGGGAAACATATGAGTTGATATGAATGAAAGAAAAAATATGTTTCCAACGGAAGAGCAAAAAAAAACGTGTTCAACACCTTTTCAATAAATTCTGATGATTAGCATTATTTCGAACATGATCCACGGGTCGCCAGGATCACTTTTTTTCGGACATAAGCGGCGAACCCGAAAATGCCACGACAAACTATCGCCGCAAGGTCAGCCGAAAAAAGATGCGTGCAGAAGATATTGTATTCATCTGCTCGTTATATAAACAAATATACACACAGTTGATTTGGCCATTTATGGCGGATGACGCCATAAATGTTAATTTATTAGATGCGAAAATACCCTAAACGGCAACTGTATGCAACGGAAATGCTGTCACTTCATTATTTTGCGCTGAATAATTGCACTCCATAAATTGTACTTTTATATTAAATCCATCTCATTGGCAAGCGGAGTGTCGCATTAAAAATCAATAAAGACTCCCGCAACTGTCATATCATGTTGCAGAAATTGAATTCTCGTTAAAATCCCATAAACAGGACCCTTGAATGGCATCTCAAACACACCAAACACACCAACAACAGTCTATCAGAGGCGTTATCATGAAATGTGAGCAGAGGAAAAAGTGAAATAAAATCTATTTCTAGGTCAAATAAAATTCCTTTTGCAGAAATTCACGGTCGTTTGATGGGATTTTTTTTTCGTAAAAGCTCTCCATCCAACTCATTTCCATAGAGTCAGAGGAGGGGTGGGAAAATCAATAGCAGATCATGTATGCGATGGTATGACTGGTGGAAACATGAAACTGCAATAAAGTATTTCAATAATCGCGCATTTGGAGTTGACAGAGACTTTCTGATAAATCACGGTGGTATTTTAGAGTAATTTCAGCAATTTGTGTCGCTTGCACGCTGTTCTCGCGGAAAAGCGCGAGGGGAGAGCAACTTGGCGTTTAAATACCCACAAAACCAGGCTGTACATTTAAAACATCTCTCTCAGGGAAGCACTTGGAGAATTCTTTTAGTGCTACTTTGCAACCTCTGACACACGCATATCTCGGCGCAGTTTAATTAAATGTCACTCACAATTCACATTTTACTGCTGAAATGCATAACTTACACTGTTTGTGTGTGCTTTTTTACTATCCTCCAAAACGACTGGCAAAAAATTCCCTCGACTGCAACTCAGCTTCGCACTTGCAATTAACCACTTATTACAGTTCTATTATTCCAGCATACGCAACACCAATAATTCCACTTGGAGATCACGTTTGAATATTTCGCTGGCACAGATTAAATCTACATGGAGAAAAAGCACTGCATAAGTTGGATTTATTCCACTGTGACAATCGATAATGCTCGGCTTGGTGGTGAAGTATGCTCTAAAAACTTCTATGATTTGTATGTAGAGCATCAAGGTCATGAGGCTGAGATCCAGGCTGGGATGCGCGTCCCATTTACAGAGATGTGAAATGGGATGAAAAGATAGTCACATGACTAGAGCACAATTGATTGGAATTGAGACAGAGCGAGAGAGAGAGAGAGAGTGGAGAATGCTGTGGTTCATTTGTGGATTAAAGAGAGGGAATGCGAATTGCAAAGGGCGAAATTGTATGCAATCGGTCGATTGGAATTCAGTGGGTAGAAATTAACGAAAAGATTTTGGGGGGAGAAGAAGCAGTAACATTTCCTGCCAAGTTTTCCTTTTCGACGTCATATCGATTTTTCCTATGCGTTTGTGCGCGTCTCACACATCAGGAAAAACTACCCCCGGAAAACTGGCATGCCCTCGAATGTTTATATATCCCGCACTTTTCACCCGGTCGTCCCCGCCAAAAGAGAGACACGCCATTTCGAGAGAGGCGCGATAAAGTGGCGAACAGGTCAATAAAGTGCCTTTTAATCTAAGCATAAACCCCGTGACGAGCCTTCAAACACTCCGCGATGTGCTCCCAGTGAATCTCCTTCGGACAGGGTGTTTGGTTTTTCGGGCAACATGACGTCATCGTCGAAAATCACACAAGCATAAAATAAACAAGAATAGCAGGGAGAGAAATAGTCCAGATATTGAATTGCACTTGGCCAGAGCGGGTTTATTTTCATGTCACCAGAAGCACAGAGTGAGAGTGTGCAGGATGATGTAATGGAAAGAATAGCGACAATTACTCTTGGTATAAAACACTTCTAAAATACAGATTCTCCGGCGCACGAAACGAAACGCGACCAAGCCTCTCAACAGTCGTCAACTAACTGACTCGCTGAGAGAAATTTGTGGTCGATACTCCGCTGGAGAGGCTCACAACAGCTTATGCTGGTCACAGACCACTGTGAGTCATACCCATGACGCGCATGGGTTAAATTCGCAAGCATTTGTGCGCTTCGGAGCTTTCAGCACTTTCCTGTGGAAATTGTTAATGCGATTCAGATGCATTTTTTGCGATGTTGAAGGAAATTCAATGAAATTCTGTTAATAGACCTGATAATGAATCTACACTGCCTGTCTGCATCTTTAAACTATAGCTTTACACAACTTTGTTGAGTGAATTATACTAACTGGAGATCACAACCAAATTCAAGTCAAAGGCGCGGAACCAATAAGAGAGTCGATAAAGCAGTTTTCGCGGGTGCAACTGAAACTCAAAGTCCTCAAAGCATTGATAGAGACATTTAACCGAATCTTTGGCCAAGAAAAATGTGCCCAGAAAACTGCCACAGAAGCCCATAAAACTCTGTCCTCTTCATTCTGTTTAATATCTATTTATTACCTCGAAACTTACGACATACACATAGTAAAATTATGAGATACACATAGGATCTGAGTACACATTAATGCCTATCGATTAGGGATTTGCTGACTAGTCACATTGGTTCGTGGCGCTCGCGGAGCCTACACCATGGTCACATTGCGTCGCTTCTTCTCGCTGGAGTTGACAGAGTTGAGAGAGCCTTGCAGCGAGGAGTTGACGCCGAATTGCGGCGGCGCCGCTCCGGGCGAGGAATTGCCACGATTCACTACTGAATACATTGGCGGCGGCTGGTTCTGTCCTCGGCCGTAGATCACGTAGTTGGTCTGCGTTTGGTAGTCGCCGGTGCTGTAGGGGAGCGGCGGCACCGGGGGCGCCATGTGACTGCCGGACAGGGAGACACAGTCTGACCGGTTGTGGTGATTGTTGAGCAGCAGCATCTGGTCATTTGGCGGCATGTGATCCACGTGACCATCCATGCCGTTTGCATTGGCCAGGAGGAGATCATCAGTCGGACTGTGGCGACGCTCGTGCTCAGTGAGGAGCTGGGAAGCGGTCCAAGACTCGTAGGGACTGAGAGTGCGTCCGTTGCGGCCGAGTGTATTGCCAGTGGAGATAATGCTGAGTCCTGGCGGTCCGTAGGTGCCTGTCAGGGTCACTGGGATCTCGCGCTGCATATGATGCGTCTGCTTCAGCTCCTCAATCAACTGCTGCTCCTGATGGTGAACCAACGAGTAGCGATTCTTGGCCCTGAGATCATCGTCCAGACTGTAGATGGGCACTCCCACAGTGTGCAGATCCGGCACATCGTGCAGCGCCTCGTAGGTCTGCATCATGGAGTTGTCCAGAGGCTTCTCCGTGTGCAGATTGTTCTGGTGATTCTGGTGCACCGGCGACGGCACAATCACATTCACCAGGTTGCTCTCGTTCTTCATCTGCTTCATCGTCTTCTTCTTCTCAGCCCCTCCGGATCTCCTCTTGGCCACTGAGCAGTAGCAGTAGATGAAGATGAGCACAATCAGCAGGATGATCCCACCGATGATGGGGATAATCAGTTCCAGACCAATGTTCATGCTTTGGGCGATGCGTGGGATGAAATTGTCCGAGTTCTCGCTGTCATTCCCGAATGGCCAGGACGAGTAGATTCCATCTGTGGCGTAGTTAGGCGGAGCGGTGGATGGAAGACTCGGTCGCGAGACGAACACACGGACATAGTTGGACACTTGACTGGCGAGGGCATCTTTGGAGAGTTGTGCGTAAGCGCGGATCGCAAAATACAGCGGCTGGCCAATAAGTTCAGGTTCTGTGGTCATGTTGAGGATGAACGACGTCTCATCTCCGATCGAAAAGGCAAATGGCTGATCGTGTGTCCACATAATAGCCGCCGTTTCGTAGTTGCTCACAATATCATCAATGGATGTGGCGTACTTCACCTCATATCGAGCCACATTGAGACCTCCGAGATCCGGCGAAGTCCAGCTCAGTCGGACTTTCATGCCCTCGAGAACCTGGCAAAGATAAGAAAGTGTGTTTAGACTTTTTATGCACATCATTAAATTGAACTTCATCTCTTACCTCAGCTCTCAGATCTCCAATCTTCCCATAAATCTCCTTGCTCTCGAGATCGGACTGTTCTTTGGTGACGAAGACTGTGATGGCGGGCAGAACTCGCTGGAACGGCGGCAGCGGTTGCTTGGATGGAACTGGAATAACACTGCCGCAGCAAGGTTGACCCTTTCCATCCATGTTCCTCGCGAAGGCCTCATCGGCCAGTGAGTAGGCCGTGTTGCCGTTATCAGTGACCGTGACTTCCATCTTGTAAGTGCCAATGCCCATTTCAGTGCTGCTGAAGTAGCGTGAGTAGATGCCATCACCGCGGGTGACGTCAGGATCGCCACTGCCGGTGTCCAGCAGCTTGAAGCTCTTGAAGCAATCCACAGAGGCATTGCACTGAGCGCTGAGCCGGGTGATTCTGACCTCTACGGAGGCTGACAGGACTGGCAAGAGTCCTTTCTTCACCTCGGCAAACAGACGAATTGGTCCTCCTCCTGGACTTCGCCTGATCCAAGTTCTGGCTCTGATCACAGGCGCCTGTCCATTCCTGGGAGTCACCATGACTTGAACATAGTGCGGTTGAGGATTGCCGTTGAACCTCTCGATTGTGTAGGTCCAGGTTCCTGTCTCGTTTATCGTGGCGGGAATCATCAGCTGCTTCACGGACAATCGAGAGTCACTCTTTGTGGAATAAACTACACCATTTGGGCTGATAAGCTTCAAGCCCTGTATTAAGGGCAGTTCGACGTTGTGCGTGTAGACGAAGAAGGACGATGGCACTCCCATTGAGTTGTCTAGCATGAAGCTTCCTGTTATGAGACGGCTAATTCTCTTGGCAGAATTGGCATCCTCAACAATATCCACGAGCTCTTTGCGGTGGATCTCAACCGGGAGATCAGCAGGATTGCCCTCATAGTACTGAGTAGCGATGTGGAAGAGGACATTGGTGAGTTCGAAGTAAGTGGACAAGAAGGTCTTCTCGCCATTGTACTTGTTCTCCATGATCGTGAAGGATGAGCCATCAGTCTTCGCAGACAAGATGTCCAGAGGTTGTCGTCTGATCACACCTGGTGAGGAAGGAAAGACAGATTAGCTAGAATTCCTTTACGTTGTTTGTTCTGTGATTATTTACCTGGATAGTTGATCGTGACGATCCGGACTTTGGCTGAATTCGCTTCGAGGGAAATCGTGTGATGATCAGTATTGTAGTCCATTCCAGGAGCAATGATGAGGACAACATTGCTGGCCGGTCCTATCAGGCGACTCCTCTCCCTCAGCATCCTGATGGCGTCCCTCACGGCGCAGTTAACACAAGCCGGCTGCCGCGAATCGTTAGGCGAGTAGGGAATGAAGGAGGCAACTAGATCTCTAGTCTTAGGCACCATCAGGGACGAGATGGGCAGGACCTTATCAGCAGCAGTGTCGTTCGCCAAAACCACACCAACCTCGGTATTGCGTGGTAGATCGTAAACAACCCACTTGCGGATGGCGTTCCTGAGGAAACTCCAGGACTCTCTGATCTGCATATCCTGCGTCTCGTCGATCACGATGACGTAGCGCGTTGTTGTGCGCTTCTTGTAATTGAAGGTGGGATGAGTGTTGACGATTGAGGAGGGAGACGTGACGGACACAATGTTGCTTCCCGTGAAGTCAGCATGCTTGAGGATGACCTCGAGAGTGCTCTGGCGACCGCAGAGATGATTGTGCTTGGTCGGAGCGAATCGGTTGTGGTTTCCTTCATCGCAGAACATCACGACGCTTGGCGCTTCGGCGGCATACATTAGACTCGTGCGTGCACTGGGATCGACAGCAGTGGTTGTGTTGTAGTTGGTGAGATTGTCCTCGCAGATGCCTTCAGGATCAATCGGTGAGTCTGAGCATCCGGTGACATGGCGTTTGTCCGTCATGAAACATTTGGGGTAGACGGGATCTCTGGCAAAGCCCCTCTCATCGAACACACCGTAGCGGAACTTTGCCCACTCACGCACGAACTCCTTCCCAAAGGACTCGCGATTGAGTCCGGTGTAGCTCATGAAGATTTGCTCTCCCGCTTCGCCGCATCCGCCGGACTGGAGTGTCCAGACTGCTTCGCTGTGTATCGGATGGATCGACGTGACGGTGATGTCGCTGCGCTCGCCGCTGGAGGGCGCCGTGGTGCGATTTGGCGGGAGGCAGACGTCTGGCCACGTGCTGGGGATCATGACGGTGATATCGCCGAAATATGCTCGTCCATCGAGTGCCGAGAAGAGAAACTGTGACGCAGACGCCAAGGAAGCCTGCAAGAGAGGGAGAAAAAAAGCTGTTAGAAACTCTGCGCACCCACTTATTGGCAATTAAAAGGTCGCCGCGTCGCAGCGAAAAGAGTGTAAAAGTCACGTCCAGGCGCAAAAGATGAAAGTGCGAAGAGGCTCATAAATTGAAGCTTTTGCATTGGCACAAAAAAACATACTCATGGCTTCGGCGCGAAGTGCAAAACATGAGAATTGTTTTGTCCAAAGCAATTCTTGTGCGCGAATTGATGATGCGGCGGAATTGCGAGTGACCGAGAAAAATACACACGAAGAAAATGGTAAGACGACACTTTGGGATTTTGATGCCCAGTGATTGATGGCAGCAATAAAGTTGACGCCTTCGTTTTGTTGGGAGGGAGAGGAATATTACGCATGGTTTTATATTGCTCAGATTGCGATTGTATTAAATATCAGTCATTGAAGTCTTTCGTTTTGACTATCGCTTATCTATAGCCATTCCTTATTCAGTCCACACTTCGCTATTGTGTGAAATAACGCAGTGTTCGCGTCAAATCTGTGGAGGAATGCCCAGAAGAGGCGTCCTCAGCAAATTCGGAAGTATTCACAGATATCTTTGAAATGCAAATAAGATATTTGATATACTGGTTCTTTGTTTGTGCCAATGAAGAAATATTGAGTTTCCCAATTGCCAAATACAGAGCAGTGTTATCGTGGCAGGAAGAAGGCGCGAAAGGCTTCAAACGACGGGTCAGTCTTATCGCCAATCCCCACACAGTTTTGTCCCAAGTCAGTCAATTCGGCATTAATCGCCGCCGAACGCCTATCTTCTCGCGTGTTAATGGCTGGAAGGCAAGGCGCGTAAATGTTATGCAAAAATCTAATATTAATAGCGCCAGCCGAGCTGTTTAGATAGTCATGCAAATTTCGGGTGGAGAAACACGATGAGAGTCTGGTATATTCGACTTCTCGCTCAAGACCTGACCACAGATTCCAAGATTCCAAGAGGAAGTGGCGCAAAAAGGTGGCGAAAGTCTGTTGAGTGATTGTATTTCGCAGGACAAGCTGCGAAAGATTCATTGTTGAGACGCTTGTCTGTTGCAACAGAAGGTGAATTGGAAGTGCTCAGTCAATCTTCACCAACATTTAGCCACGCACTCAGGCGGAATTGATTCTTGCTAAATGATTTTCCATTATACGTGAGTGATCTGCATATAAGAAGGATATGTGGATAGAGTTACTCAACGACGACACCTCATCGGCTGGCAAGTGAAAGAGAGATGTCTTCACCAGACATCTGGTGTGGCAAAAGGTGCACATTTTGTCTGCCGTCACATCTCAAATTTCATATATTATTATGAGAAATTCAAGTCTTTCCGCTTGAAAATGCACTTCCTCGAGCGCCCAAACTTCCTCTTGCACATCGATTTGGGAGAGGCGCATAATAAATTCGAAGGGTGACTCTCTGTGACGACAAGAAGATCCTCCAACCACACTATCTCTATCGCTGAACAGAAAAGTCACTTAATGGGCGCGGAGTGGAATCAAATTGATGCCTCGCCGCGGCGATAACACTTGTCACAATTCCCGTGCCGCCTCGTCAGATCTCCACTCCGGAGAGGTGAATAAAACTAATTGGAGCGGACGATATAAGGCGCAAGATTCCATCCCAAAATATGTCATCAGATACCGCGGAGAAGCGCGTCCTCGGGGGCTGCAAAATGGCAATTTGGGCGCGATCTCAAATTACACTCCGCGGTGAACAGCACGTGCGAGCTCAATTCACGGATCTTGCGAGCAAAAAGAGTGCTTCTTGTGAGCTCAAAGGTGGTCAGTTGGAGCTGAGCGAGACAGAGATGTTGTCAGCAAGCCCTTCACTGGGATTATTGACTGTCAAAGAAGTATGTTAAGACCAAGTCAAAGGTAATTTAAATAAGTCTCAAGTCAGAGGCAAATAAGAGGATCAAATGCTTTGACTATGTTTTCGCCAACATTGTCAAAGAGATCTTATTCAAAGGTTTATCTGCACGCGTGGAAAAGATCCAATTTGAATTTTATCCATCGTTTGCTGTATGAAAACTTTTCTAAGAACTTCTCAATTAAAGTTCTCTTCCATATAATCAACACAAATTGTCACTTAACTTATTCCCCAGCAATAATACAATAAATTTAATGGATGAAAATCCAATAAATCCACAGCATTGGCCTCAGAGATGAAACATATTGTGATGGGTGATGGAATAAAATCAAATTAATGTGGCTGATGCAGTGTGAAGTGAGTGTAAATCAAAAAGGGACACAGATGTCTTTCCAACCCCGAATGACAGTCATAAATAAGGAAAAAGCCGTACACATGATGCAATGCCGTATTCTCGGTGAGAAAACCTTCGGATTTCGACCTTTTTCCCAACATCGCGTCGTCCATTGAATTTTGAGCTCTTCCCAATACATTTTTTACCGGCCAAAACGGATCAAAAGGGAAACGATGGATAGTGTTTCTTTAGTCGGCGAGGCTAGAAATGCGCCATGAATCGTCTTGCATCAGAAGATCCTGTCAGTATTTTTTCTTCCCTGAGTACTTCTCTAATCTTCTTACGGGATTAGATGCCAAGGAGGGCGATGTGAGGCATTCAACAGTGAATTTCTCCTCCTTCTCAGCTCAGGTCGGAATAATTGAATTTGAGCGCAAAGCGAATGTGTCTAATTTCCCTTTGTGTGCTCCTCCAGGACGCCAAAGGGGCTGTTAATCCTTGCAACGCCCGAATATTCTGGTAGCACAATTTTAAGGAGATTTGAATTATTGAGAAAGCAACGTGAAGAAAAACACCCCAAAAATACCCTCAGTGTTTTCTTATGTTGCAACAATGAGGGTGATTTTTTCGCAACAGCGTGATTTGGACAAGGTGAGCAGATATCGTGAGCGTGATGTACAATCTTGTAGGAGATTTGTTGAAGCTTTTAATCAATATATTTGCAAAATTTCTCTAAAATCGCTCTTTTGAGCAACTTTCTCCACCTACAACCTCAAGACATCTCTGTACACCACATCCGACCGTCGCAGCCTTGCTTCATCCCTTGAAAAATGGATGATGATTGAGTTGCTGCAAAGTCTCTCCCATTCCACGGCGCGAAGGGTTTGCAAGAGGGGCTCAACAGTAGCAACAATGGCATCAATGTCAGCTAATGTAATTTCGCTCTTCGATCGCCAGAGGCACCATATGGCGGATGGCGCATTTATCCATGCGTTGAAATGAAATTAATTTCACTGTAATTGATACATAATAAATGCACCTAGGCACTGGGCATTAATTCTCAAGAGGACAAGGAGCGACAGGAGCAGATGAAGGAGTCTCGTTGTGATGGTAACCTTTCTCGTGGGGTGGACGGGAAATTGCAATTTTCTCACATCAAAAGCACCACATTTATCACACCAACACTCCTGGTAGACGGATTGGAAACTGTTGAGGTCTCCCTATAGGCACGAGAGGGCTTCCCTCTTTACCGTCTCTAAGCTCTCCTCCTCGTGTGCTACACGTTTTCCCGATAATGGCGTCTCTGTGCGTATTCATAAAATATCGCTCGTGTCAAATTATGCACGTGCACAGTGGATTACAAATTGCAATTTCCAATCCTACTCAATCATTTAGTTAGAGCTGAACAATGGGATTTCAGATTGTACGGCAATTGATGGTTCTCCAGGCTGATGGTTTTGGGTGAGAGTGAAAGGGTATTTAGCGGATTATCCTCCTCCATTCGCCATTCGATCCACTCGCGAGATTGGTCAATTTATCACACTCTTTCGCGCTGATAATGTCAACTTTCCGCGCTCATTTGCAAAAATGATCAATTTGCTGTGATATTTTTCATCCAATTAGCCAACGTCAGACACTGCAGAGTTGTCGAGCGGGTGTTTCTATGGAAATTCAATTATCATCCCTAACGGCTAATTAGGCGGCATCTCAATCCACCCCAGAAGGAAGGACGCCCAGGGAAAAATCAATTACGCAGTGCTTCTGTGTGAAGAAGTTGTTTTGACAGGTAGAATACATTCACAGCGGGAAGATAGAAATTTAATTTAGCCCTCTAAAAAAACCAACAGTTTCAGAAGGGGAAGCTGTCCTTGAGAAGAGGGCAAAATCATGGGAGGGATTCCTTTAACCCATTAATCCTCAGAAGCTCTAAGTGCTCTTCTTGGCGCGCACGTCAATTTGCCATCTTAATTTTGATGGATTTATCGATGAGTCTGGAGGGGAAGATTCAAAAGGCAGTCATTAAAAATTATACAAAATTTCAAGATTCCGGCCGATGTTAAATGTCCAGTCTTTTCGGTGGTAATCCAGAGAAGAGCGTCGATAGATAATTTATTGGTGGAGTCTAATGAAGAATTCATCGAATGACGAGGCCATGCATTGAGAGTCCCCGTGATTTATCTCCCCTCCTGAAAGAGATTCAGGAACGAAGGCCTAATGAAATGGTTAAGCTGGGTTTTAACCCTCTTCTTCCACTCATAAATCAAACACCGTGGCAGATCGTTTAGGATGGCTGTTTTTTCCGCGGCCCATAAAACAACTCAGACATTTAATTCACAACATTGCTAAACAATGCCTGCATGATGGTCATTACATAAAGTACATGTTTAGGGGGGCGCGCAATACAGTTGTTGTTGTGCAATGTCTTGGCGGATGAAAATTTCATCAATATATTTAATAATAATAAACCACAAATGGTACGGAGAAACCAACATCAAAATAATACAGTCCGGCGGGTATTTAAATATAAATTTGAATCTTTCATTTAATCCATCATCATTGCGCCGCACAAGATATTACACAATAATAATCAGACAACAATTTCACGATAATGGCAACTGGAAAGAGGCCTTTTTTCTACCACCTTATTCCTCAATCACCTCAAATGCATGCGGATGAGATGGAGAAAAACTAAATATTTGAAATGGAATCTCATATTCAACACACATCGAAGACCAAAAGTGGATGGATAATGATTATAAGATGAGAGGTTAAATT